GATACGAAAAAAATTACAAACTTAAGCTACATAACCGTAGATGTTTTAATTTTTTTTTAAATAGTATACCACTGTACCAAAAACTAAAGTCACTTATGAGTCAATACATTTTACAAATATCAATGTAACAGAAAAAAAATAAAAAGTAGCATTCTTAAATTGAAAACAAAATATAGAATTGTTGTGTCAGAATTACACTTTTTGATGTATCATCATAAAGAACACCAGAACGGAAAAAATGTGGAAGAAATTAACGTGCGAAATACTTTATAGCAAAGGGTTATATATTTATATATAATATCATGCTTAAGTGATGGATATTGTTCACTCGCGTATTAAAGCTACACATTGTTTGATATTTGCTTTTAATCAATACAATTCATCATACTACAACATTATTTCTGTTATGTTTAGGTTTTAAAACAGTTTGATCTTGAGCATCATTGAAGATGCATTAATTGTGGAAATAAATGCGACAAGAAATACTTAGACATTACCTGATGTGTTGTTGATGCTATATTGATAACTGCTGAGTGAATAAATTAAACGGAGAATTTTTAAGACATATTAATATTTCTTAGGTATATGCAAAAAGAAATACTTTCAGGTAATAAGCCAGGCATACTTTAGATCCATCAATACATCTGTTGATGCGACATTTTAAGGTCAAAAACTGAAGCTACTAATCTTGACAATATTCGACACCATAACGTATTCTGTCAGTCAAATGATTACAAATATGAATTTCATTTAAAATAATCAATGGTTCGGTTGCTGCATTTCATATTCTAACTTTTTTATTCCATATCAAGACAATATTCAAATTTTTATTTTCAAACTTTTATTTTCTCCTTCAGTTATTACGTTTACCAGTTATATAAACATGAATGAACACAAATAAAATTTTCCTTTTCTCATACTATCTCTCAAGAAATGCATTTGTAATGAAGCAACAGTTACTTACTTTTTCATTAAGATATCTAATCGTAACGAATGGGTGCCAATCAGAACATACCGAATACTTATAGATAACAAATGTTCTGTCTTTACGTACAATTTAATGAAATAGATACAATGTACATTGATATGCGCATACTAGCGTTTACATCCTTCTCCTTTGGTCTTATAATGATAGTTGTCGCTTTGGCAATCATACCACAGTTTTTATATTTAGTAGGGTTTTTTAAATGGAGATTTCTTCACTCACTAGCCTGGCATGATGAATAGTCGGAAGATAACTAGTCCTCCAATATGGAACGCGAGATATTAAACATGTTAAATGCAGACATACATCCGATTAGCAAATAATAGTTAACTTTCTCTAAAATTTTCAAATTAACTTGCAAAGATGTAAACAACTTCCCCAGAAATACGGTAAGTACACGTTTGTCGTACATTTAGATATGCTTGACGTCTCAAACAACATTCAACAGTAGTTTACGATTAATGAAATTAAAAAAAAACCAGATTAGTCTTTGTAAAACGTTTTAAAAAAACAAGTTTACCTGTATCACCACCAATTTTAGTCTTGAAAGTTAGAACAAAGAAAAACAAATAAGTATAGCCCGAAAGTGTAACGTTGATTTCATATCATTTGGTAAATCACATGTAAATGGTTCATTAAAACAAAAATGCTTCATAAAAACACAGGCAAGTATATGAAAAAATATGACAAAAATACTGAACTCCAATGCAAATTCAAAAAGGAGAAGTCCATTAAAACTGCAAAAGCAAACGCTAATAATCAACGGAACAATTGAAAAACAACTGCCCTACTCCTGACTAAACTGTGGTATGCATTCGTTGCAAAGACTTTTTTACCAGGACTGACGACTATTACCTCTTTTCGGAGGTAACATTCGCGGAAAAGAGGTAATGGTGACAATAAAACTCCTTTAGTGTTAAAATCAGTCGTCCAATCCTGTTGAAAAAGTTTTTGCAATGAAAGCACACCACAGTTTATAACGCCCATAGAATGAATAAATACAGGCTCGTTACATAGTAAAACAGATATTTAAACGCCATACCACGTTACAGAGGGTATATTCTACCAACGAATTGTACCTTGACAAAGGAGACTGGAATCTTTCGTCATAGATTTTAGTTTCAAATCGTATATTTTTGTTTTCTTCACAAATGTAAGTTCCGATTATGAGGTCGACGTTTTTACCTTTTATATCTGTTTGTTTTGCTCACACATTGTTGCCAATATAATTGAATTCTATGCGACTGTCATACAAGTGAGAGGTTTAGCTAGCTATAAAACCAGGTATAATCCACCATTTTCTTAATAAGGAAATGCCTGTATCAAGTCAGGAATATGACAGTTGTTTTCCATCGTTAGATGTGTTTCAGCTTTTGATTTTGCCATTTTATAAAGAACTTTCCGTTTTGAATTTCTCTTGGAGTTCGGTATTTTTGTTATTTTACTTTTTATTTTCATTGATATCCTTAAACAAATTATTCTCAGAGATAAATGAGATGTAATTACTAGTTGCATTATGGATGAATAACTGATAGACGGAAATCACCATACATCAATGTAAAATGCGAAGCTTACCTTGTCAAGATGCGTTTATGGAGAATCTTTATATGAATACAATACAAAGTTGGCCAGTATAGGTGTAAATAAAAGCGACAGTAGTTTACCGATGTCCCAAAACAAACCCATAGAAACGTCTATTTGTTGAAATACTAATTCATCAACTTGTCAATAAAAACAAAATTCAGCATCCAGGGTATTTTTCTCAATTGTATATTCAATTTTTGTTGTTGCAAATGTGAGTTGCAACAACAAAAATTGAATATACAATTGAGAATTGTATGTACTCAAAATAAAGTGCGATCGGGAATGCATATATGGTAATCGTCTTTAGCTTTGAAATGCAACAGTCGTGATGTAATTCGATGCTATATTAGAGAAAAAGGCAATCGATGAATTTACAGATCAGACGACTTTTCTGGTGTCTTAAAATCTAACGCTGCGAAATGTGTTTCTCGTTTAATTTTGTTTTGCGTTGAAATCATGTAGCTGTTAGGAAGGCCCAACAAATAAGAAAATATACGCACTTACAAGTCAATAGAGATATGTAAACGAAATACCTCGGGACAGAGTGTATGTTTTACTAAAGTTAACTGATACGGAAATCTTTCGTTATAGATTCTAGTTGCAAGTCGTCTATCTGTGTCAGTTTCAGATTATGACTCCAATCTTTTACTTTCATCGATATCCTCATAGTCAAGTTCACAGTGATATATGAGATGAGAGCACTCGACGATTTCAAATGGATTACTGATAGACAGGAGATCAACAGATATCGATGTAAAAGTTGACACTGAACTTGGCAAGATGCTTTTGCTTTATATCTTTGAGAACTTTCGTGTGATTTCTGCTTTATATGAAAACAAAACTTTGTTGGCTAGTAAAGGTGCAAAGTAGTTCACATAGAAAATACTTTTGCTTACATTCTTATCCATAAGACTTGCTGTCATTAAAGCAAAAAGCAGCATCCAGTTTATGTGCTGCTCGATTTAGATTTTCTCATCAAGTAAGATATGTTCAGGCCTAATTCAAAAACATATATATGCCATTCCCTTTTTTTTTTTGGTAAAGTGATGGGTTTTTTTTTTCTTTTTTGATGTAATCAGCCTTTCAATTGAGCAATTTGTGATATTGTTGCAAAATTATATTGATTCTTATTGCAGAATTTGGTGCAGATATTTAGGATTCTTAAGATCTACACCTGATTTATCATCACTGGTTCAGTATACACGTAAATCTTAGAAAAACGATTTGGAAAATACTATAAACAACTGTCATATAAGCTGAAGGCTAGCTAGCCTAACAAGGTTTAACCCACCATTTTTTCGAAAAATACATTTACCAAGTCAGGAATATGACAGCTTGTTTTTATTCTTTCCGTTGGTTGATATAGTTGGGCGTCTGATTTTGTCAGGTCTTATGGACTTCCCCTTTTTAATTTACATTGGAATTCGGTATGTTTGTTAATACTTTTTAATATCTAAATGAGGCTGCTAAGTAGCAATCTTTATACAGATGAATTTGAATTATAGTGTAAGAGATTTTCATCGTCCCTTATATGTTAATACAAGAGGATAAAAGGACGGATTTGTAATTTAATATGTGTCGTGATTTAAGTGTAAGTGTGATATTTATGCTAGCTTTGAATCCAAAGTTCGTTTTGGGTCAATATAAAAATGCCTGTTGCACATAAAAAAAATGGAATATTGTTTGAGACTTTGAAAAAAGTCAAATAGCTTTACCTAAAAATATGAGAAAAAAACAGTTGTATTTTGATTTGATTTAAAGAGTTAGTTTTAATCTTGCACAACCATATCGATGTAGAAGACTCGCTCAAATTAAAATTTTGTTCATGTAATTCCGTTCAGGATTTTTCCAATCTATTTTTGTTTCTTGATGCCCGTTTGCTTTCAAACAGTCACTATGCGGAATACAAATTAATATGACTGAAATAACTCAAAATAGAAAGCCATTTGTTGAACCTACTGTATTAAGTTGTCTAATGTAAAGCTATTTTAACCTCGATACTTGGAATGTGTTGAAAATTAGAACAAAGAATATATAAAAAATCTGAATTCGGAGTAGAATAGACACTTCAATGACCAATAAAAAAAGAACGAGATAACCGATAAGTCCGTTTCACAGAATTTTAAAAATTAAACAACATAAAATCCCTCAAATATAACAAGGATTGCATACAGGCCCTCTGGAATATAATTCAATAGCTGTTCCTCTATCGACACCCATCAGAGAGTGTATCGTATGAAAAATACTAAGTTACTAAAGTCGGTTTATACCCCTTAGACTACCTCTATAACACCAAAATTGCCGTGCGAGTGTTGGAAATATTATTTGTATTGTTAAGCAGAACAATGATGGTGATAATTTTAACATATTTCCAAGTCTAAAATTAAAAGATTATTATAATAATTATCGCTTTGATTTCATTTATATTTACCAACTGCCGTACTACCATAGCAATAGAACTTCTTATGTATCTGGCAATCTTCCTCTCCGACAAAAATATTTTGGATGCTTAGCGAATATCCTACTGGACACAAATCTTTATCTAGAATAACATCTGCAAACAAAACATGAGTACCATAAGCAAAATGATAAAACAGTTTGAAAAATTGCTGCAGTGAGATTGTTGATAAAACAAAACTCACCAAAGATACCAGGATTATAATTCTGTACGCCAAACGCGCGTTTTGATTACAAGGCTCATCACTGACGCTCGAACCAAACGGCGGTTTACCTACTTTTAAAACATCTTGGGATGTTATTCGACAAATTTTCTCAATAATGACACTAGGTAATACCATCCGTTAATATCGTTAAAATTATTTATTTATGGAAATTTCTTTATGTTAATATTCATCACACACATGATTAAACATAACGTGAAATAGGAACTGATGGTTCCTCTTTTCACAATACATGTGTTGCAATATTCATTTGTAATTTAAACTTAAACTGTACTATTTCCGAATTTTATTTGTAGCCTTCTGTAGATTTAGCACAATGATTTATCTCATCAAATTGTTATCAGTAATGCCATATGACATCTAAAATCATTTGTCTGAACGATGAATGTTATATTGACTATTACATGCCAATATATAAATAGCATACATAGGATTTCGTTCTTTAACAGCTGCAGTATTCTCACCATGTGCAAATACTTAACGTAATCTATGGATATCAATATGTTTTTGTCTATTCAAAATATAACTGCTCCTAGAAACTATGGATTCAGTGTATGTTTTGATTTCACAATGCAAAGACTAGCTCTGCCACTACAGAATAATTTATGAGAGCAATTTGTTCGAATACAATGCTGAAATAATATTGTACAACACTGGAAATTATTATTGCGTAATTTAGTCACAAATGCTAATACTCTTGATACATATTACGAGAGTCAGTCAGGGCAAATATTTCATAGAATGACTGCCATAAACATACACGCAACATTTTTCAAAATGAAAACAACACTTTATAGAGATTCAACATTAATGCAATTTTCTAACGATGTTGAACACATCAGTATTTTATCAATTGGGGTCTCCGTGGCAGAGTCGTCTAAGTAGTTTATCTACAGTTATTACTGTCCTGTCAATTCTATGTTAAAAATTTGAGTTTAAACCCAGCAGCTGTCGAGGTGTATTCGACTCATCTCTTAAATGACCAAGTTTGGCAGTTTCCGGTCCGAAGTTGGTTTGTTCACTACGGGTAATCCGACTTCCTCTGCCATAAACCATACTGTTCGCCATAATAAAGCCAAATACGCTTATAGTGGCATTAAATACCAACCAAAACAATAAAACAACAAAATTTATCAATACACACAGCTGTGAAAGTACTTTAGTAGCAAGGTTCTTCTAATAATTTTTTAACCATGATTTTGGTAGTATGATTGCCAATGAGATAACTCTCCAACAGAGACCAACTGAGGTAGAAGTTAATAACTGAGGGTTACCGTACGTTCTTCAACAATGAACAAACCCTATACGTCATAGTAAGCTCTAAAAGTCTCCGAAATGACAAATGTAAGACAATTCAAACGATAAAACTAACCGTCTGATTCATGTAGAAAACAACATATGAAAAAAAAATATAATATACAGCTTTAAATGACACATTTAATTGCAGGCTCCTGACTTGGGACAGGCACATACAGAATGTGGCGGGGTTAAACATGTTTGCTGGCACCAAAATCTTCCGCTAGCCTTGGAACAGTGGTTTAAAAGTACTACATAAGAACAAACTATTAAAATCAGTTTCATTCATCATATCGATATAAAGCACAAAAAAAACACAGAGTACAGATCTGATAGCACTCGCAGTTACTGAACGCTAGTTTAAATCAATAACAACTTATAAAAAATCATGTATCTAAGACTAATAAAGGCAATGATAGTATACCGCCGTTCAATAGTCATAAATCGATTTAACTGAAACAAATCCGGGTCACAAACCAAAACTGAGGGAAACACATCAACTATAAGAGGAAACAAAACGGAACACCAGAAACACTTAACTGCTACAAAAAACAACGCCAACATACATAGAAACGGACTATGTGATAACAACTGCCATATTCCTTAACAGTTAGAGAAAACATGACCTAGCTTTATTCTTATCTTTTTTAGTGTTTGTTAATATTGTTGACATTTGATAAGAAATTTTTTACCTACGTTTTTTAATGTCGTAAACTTTTATTTCTAATTCATTTCCACTATTTTCACTATGACAGGATTCCTCCGGAATCTTTGTATTATGGATGTTGTCATGAACCAGATCATTATCTGATATGCTAAAGCTGTTGTTTTCCTGAAATAAATCACAAAAGAACTTACATTACAATCCAATCGTTTGATTCTAAGAATTAAGATATTTGGTGTCCGGAGTACCAATTTACGTTCATGTCCAATATCACTTCAAATATAAAACTACATGTAAAACAATATTATGTTAGATGTACGAGATACAACAGGTCTATAAGTACCCAGTTTGAAGGGTTGATTTATGAAAACAATGGTACTAGTTTTACCATTACATTATATAAGTCACATTTTCAAGAAAAAAATATTTAGTTTGCCAAAATAAATCGATTTACCCAGCAGACTGCAATTTAATTACAGCTGTGTTCACTGTATTATCATCTTGTTTTAACAGATGGAACTTTTATAGAAGTTTCAGCCAAATACTTTGTCTGACTAAGGCTGTTTTTTTTAATTATACACGTTTATGTACGGTTTGATAATATATTGATAGAGATTAAAAAGATACAAATATTTGACCCAACTTCATTTCCATGTGCATTTCATAAGTCCGTTCTAAAAGAGAAGCAAAAGATACCAAAAGGACATTCAAACTCATTAGTCGAAAATAAACTGACAACGTAATGGCAAAAAAAAAGACAAAAGGACAAATAATAGTATACAAAACACAACATAGAAAACTAAAGATTAAGCGCTCCACCAAAAACCGGGGGGTGATATCAGATGCTATTATATACGGGCTCCTGTCTGTTGGTGAATACCTTTTATTGCCTTCTAGATGTCTTATTGTAATTTTGGTTTATGGGTTACTGTCATGGTTCATTGTAATCATATTTTTTTTATTATCGCTGGTTTGTCACCGTAGAATATGTTATGAATTCATAATATTTGAAAAAAAAACAAGTTAAAATGATATCCCCGTTTAAAGGTTTAGGAAGTTGAAAAGTAATGGATATGAAAATGCATCACATAATATATAAAAATAAAGAGATGTGGTATGATTGCTATTGAGACAACTATCCACCAGTCACTATATTATTCAGTAGAGTATGTATACATGAATCCTGATAAAAAATTTCAAGAAGCCCCTATTTGCGGTTCCTTAGATAAATGCGACGGAAATTTCATACAAGATCATTATGTGTCAGAATATAAAAGTATTCGGTAAACACGACATTGATAAGCGATAAATCTGCAACATGGTGAAGCATGTTCACATAATTTGAAAACAAATTTCTAAATAGAAATAAGAAGATGTGGTATGAGTGCCAATGAGACAACTCTCCATCCTAGTCAAAATTTATAAAAGTAAACCATTATAGGTCACAGTACGGTCTTCAACAAGCTGTTTCACAAAAAATTTCATACATGACCATCGTGTGTTAAAATATAAAAGTATAATGTTAACAGGAAGTAAAGGAGAGTTAAATCACACAGTATAGCATATTCACATAAAGCCTGGTACTAAGTTTCAGGAAGCTTTTATTTCTAGTTCTTGAGAAAAATAGAAATGCAAAATTGATTTAATTGGACAGACGAATAGACAGGGATTAAACAGCATACCCTCAATCGTAGATTGGTTATATATAGAACGGATATCTTTCATTCACTAGATGTATTTGGTTATTTGTGTCGCTGGGATGCTAAATCGTTCAACCGGCATCTTTTTTTATTAATATTTTACACTAATCAAAACCGTAAACTGTATAGTTATTTTTACAACTAAACTCATTAAAAATTAAACGCCACGATTCATTGTCTCACAGAACATCAACGTAAATTTGGCATATAAATGACTGGATTCATGTGATACTTGAACGATTCCTCCAGAATTTAAAATGTGTTAACATGATAATTGACAGTACATGCAAATCTGATTGTTGGAGTCTTCGATGTGATCTGATATTTTGGAAATGAATTATCTAGTTTAGAGGACTAAAATAGTTTTTACTGATCAAGGTCCGGGTTAGTTCTATAACATAAGACTTCGAGCGATATTTTTTTTCACTTTGTTTTCTGATATTTAGTTTTTACTTAGAAATATGAGAATGTGAAATAAAAAGAATTTCCCCGAACCGATTATTGGAATTTTGGCATTTGCACCCGATTAGGCAAAAAATAAGAGATTTTATGGAATTAAACAATATCATCCTGATTTCAAATAACTGTATGCCTAGCAAACATAGAACACAAGATGCGATAAACTAAATAGTTTAGTCAGATATATATGTTGTATATTACATAATGTATAACAAACAAAATAAACCAAGAATTTTGTGTGTTGACGCAAACCAAAACAAACAACAAACAAATATTGTATTTGCCAATCACGGCGCCCACAATGAGCAGAATAATTACAATATAATTTCAAACATAATATAAAAGTAAATTAACATAGGTTAAACAAAGTAAATAACATGATTAATTTTGATTTAATTGATTAATGTATAATATCAAAGTAACTGAAATAAGTAATTTGTAATCAAAATATATAATATGACCTGTTGCTTGTTATTCTGGACCCTTTATTGGACAGTACACCTCACAGCATACCAATTATTAATTAAATGTAAATAGTAACTATTGTAAATGCATATGTTATCATATATATCTATAACTCTACATAAAATAATCAAATTTAGTATTGTATTCCGTTTTTTTTTTTAAAAACATCTATAATTGACATATTATTATCAAAATATTTTTATCTTCATTTCCCATTATTTAAATAAACAGAGATTTGTTATCAAATTTTGAAATATTTTTATTTTTACTAAATATTTTGCTAAGATATGGATTATAACATTAACCAAAGCTTTACATGTTAAAAGAAAATGCATCTCATCTTCTATTTCCCAATTACAGAGTTTGCATATTCTATTTTCTAGTTTTATATTAAAGTAACGACCTTTTTCCAATTCAAGTTTGTGAGCTCCAATTCTAAATCTTGTTATAACACATCTTTGAAGATATGGTAATTTCAATACTTATGGCTCAAAATTAAAGTTTGGTTTGAATAATCGATAAGTTCGAAGTTTATTTCCAGAGGTCTTATTTTGTCTTTTGTCATTGAATAATTCTTTCTTCAATATGTTTCAACATTTTAAATATAATTTCTTTTTCATCATATTCTTAATGTTTGTTTTAGATGAGAGTACTTGATACTCTTGTAAATCAAGCGATTTCAGGATAGCATGAATACAACTAATCCAAGAATTCTTCCCAGCTTTTGATAATGTATTTGAGAGAGAGTATGCATTTTTAAATAAAATATTATTTGTAATATGAATTCTTTTTCAATATTTGATCATGTTTGTTAAAAAATATCTCACATTAGAGGATAACGACCTAATACACTAAATATGGCCAAATTTGTTGCATGCTTTTTCACTCCTAATGTAAATCTGCAGAACTTTAGATGCACTTTCTCGATTTTTTTTACGAAGTCTATAGAAATAGTTTAGTTCTGTGTCATTCTTTAACTTCTTTGAATTAAAACAACCCCATATTTCTTAACCAAGATATTATAATACGGGTTTCACTGTATGATCAAAAATGTGCATTAGAATGGAAGTATTAGGTTTATCATTAGTAAAATATTTAGTATGTTTAAAGAAAGCTTCTAAACATTTTTTTTATGACAGGTTTTTGGCTTCTGAAAAGCTGCCAGATGCACTAAAACTTACGCCAAGATAAGTATAATGTTGGGTATTTTGGATGTATGTGTCTTTATATTAAAGCTGTGCATCTTTAATACGGTCAGATGCATTAAGAACTTAGATTTCGTTTTTTTTTAAATTAATATCTTAACCTCAATTTTCACAATAGATTTCCAGCTTATATGATTTTAGACCTGAAAAATCAATCGGGATTGGTCTTTTCAATGTTGGTGGAAAATTGAAATTTATGCCAATTGTGAAATCATTAAGAGAACGCTGATGTGTAAATTAAAGAAATATACATATTTCTTTCTATTCATTGTTTTAACTATATGTGTTATCCCTAGTAATGAACAAATGCTAGCTTGAAGTTTTAGCTAGAGAAAAAAGCCATATATGGATTTTATCATACATCCTTTTTTGCAGAAAAGACCTAAACTTACATGCTACAAATCATTCGATTTTATTTTCTTAATTTTCTTTGAACTAGCTTCGTGCATTTTCGGAGTATTTTGCGTGATTTGGAGACATATACAAACCTTATAAACGTTTAAGTTAGTTCGATAGGTTTTTTTTCGTCAAATGTAAAATTTAATCTGCTAATTAGAGGAAGATCTAAAACATTAAAGGGACATTACATACGAGATATACAAAAAAATCAAAGAATGATTTTTTTTGTTCAATCATGTATGACAGTAAAATAGGGAAATGATAATTCACTTTTAACAGTCAGTTTGGTTCAATTTTGTCAAATAAGCTCAGAAATATTGCTGATGAATTGTTCACTTGCAAATGAATAATTCGACCTCATTGAATCCGTATTCATGTGACATTCAATTTAACCTCTTAACTAGGTATGGGTACGAATAAACTAGGCGTGTTCAACTAATAAAAGGAAAAGAATGTTAACATTGAAAGTTAAACCATTTGGTTGACTGACTCGATCCAAAAAAACAATCATTCTTATATAGGTGAAAACGGTGATTAACATATTTTTTAAACCTATAGTATGAAATCAAACAGACCTAGAAAAATCAAATTGCACGTGTTCGTTGTCTATTTATATCTATATATTTGCTTATATTGGGTTATATGACCGTCGGCAGTTTTTAGAAGTCACCTCGATGCTTAATAAAATGGTGTCTAAAATAAACTCAAAATGCTGATACATATTATCGAGTGCAAGCACCGTAAATTGTTTATTTTAGATTTTTTTATCATTTGGATATATGTTTCAGTATATTATAGATCAAATATGAGAATTTAAGTCAAATCAATGAAAATGAATTTGAAAGCTAATGCCCCTTTAAATCAAATAGTATTTTAATTTCCATACATTTTCATTTTTTCTAATTATCAGAATGAATCGAAAATATAACCGATAATGTTTTTTTCGGAGAACGTGTCAAAAACTCTGGAAAACATCTTTCTTGAAGGACAATCATCATTCACTCTTTTCCCGGCTGTAAACGCAAATATGATAGGCTTGTGTACCAAATAATATATTCAATTATGATTTATATAATATGTACCGACTAAGGCACACACCTTTAAATATTTCTTAATGCACTTCCATTCAGAAACAGGTTTTTTTCAAAGAAATTTAGTGTACAATCAAAACCCTGCTCCCAACAGAAGATGAGTGGTCAGTCCCTAAGTAGAATTTGTATTTTCAAGGTAGAATCATGTTTTTTTCATAGAACGAAAACTTGTTTTAAATCAAACAAACAAACAATTTCTTTTTTTCACACTTTATGTTTATGTAGAAATTCAAGAATAAGAAGATCGCATATTAATTAAATACACAGACATAAAATTGAACATACAATATTGTAATGGTTGAACGTCGCTATACCAACAATCATCTGGTTATTAAATATTTTGAAGTTAATTAAGTTTTCATACATTACTGCATATGCTTTAAGGAATTTATTTCAAAGCAGTATAGTTGAGAATTCCTTTGTCAATGGATTTTGTAATCTATATTGATTGTTTAGTATGGTTATAGACACAAGGGGGTGCATAACTTTCTTATGTACTTGCAGAATATAATGTTTCAGTTAATTGATATATAAATGTACCACCGTTTGCTAGTTTGATTGGCCTTCAGTGTATTGAATCTATTTATTTGATCTATCTATTTCATTTAGTCATGTAATTGACGACAATGTAGCCTTTTATATCAGAATGCATTATTTCATACAATAAAAAATTACCATGATGACATGAATAAAACTTTTCAAGTAAATATATAAATGGTTGTTGATGGTTTATGTCTGTCATATTTGTTTTTTGTAAATTGTTTTGTTTTAAATTAGGCCGTCAGTTGTCTCAATTGAATTGTTTCATATTTGCATGTCGCGGCCTTTTATAGCCGACTAAACGGTTTGGTTTTTTTCATTGTTGAAGGCCGTGTAGTTGCATGAAATTGCTTACATCGACTTCATTAATTTGAACTTTGGTGGATAGTTGTATTATTGACAATCATGCAACATCTCCTTTTTTATATAGTAATTATGAAAAGGCTGACGTTATTAATCTCAATGTGCTGTAGGTTGTAATGACAAATAGAGAAAGACAAACATCAGCTCCATATGTTTTGTCATTTGATATCAGTTTTAACAAATCGATTCGTGTATACTTACTTGAATACCAAGTTTTGAATGTTTACACTTCCGGGCACATTCAGTAAGATCGGTTGTATTACATTCTATAGATGTCAAAGACTTTGGATCAAGCTGGTAACAACCTAAAAAAGATAATCTTGATGATCTGTTTGATACATTTGTGTGACAACAAGATATCGAAAAACGACAAAAATACAACACCTGACTTTGATACGTAGACAATGAAAATGTAAAAAAAAACTATGAAAACCGCCATCTTTAGTCAGTTTATTTGAACTGCGGTCTCAGTGAGCTTTTAATTGAGACAGAACCACAATTTACATTTCGATACAGAATTTTCATAACCAATATGGTAATCACTGGACTATTTCCATTTAGCAGTAAAATTGTGTCATCTGTCTCTTTTATAATCTTAGACTCAATTGTTTGGTTCTCTAGATTCTTATCGAAAATAGACAGGGCACGCGGTTCCTGTTACACTAGTGGCACTTGTCGAGTTGTTGACGCTGCCTACAATTCCGGTGATAAAAATCTATGTCATAAATAAAAACAAGAAAAATGGATAGGTTGGCGCCTGTTAAAACGTTTAGACCCGCTACATTTGTATCCACCAGTCCCAAGTCAGGAGCCTGTTGTTCAGTGGATGTCGTTTGTTGATGTGGTTTATAAATGTTTCTCGTTTCTCGTTTTTATATAGATTAGACAGTTGGTTTTCTTGTTTGAATTGTTTTACACTAGTCATTTTGGAGCCCTATATAGCTTGCTGTTCGATGTGAGCCGAGGCTGCGTGTTGAAGGCCGTACTTTAACCTATAATTGTTTACTTTTGACACATTGTGACTTGGATGGAGGGTTGTCTCATTGGCACTCATACCACATCTTCTTTTTCATATTTCGTTAAGACAAACGTACCTTTTTTCTTCTTGGCACAAAGGAAATAGGAAACTCAGCCCCAAGAATCCACGTGCAATATACACAAAAAATGAATAGTTCGCTAATGGAAGATTTTATGAATTCCCCTTTGACTTAAAGTTTATATCAAAATAAAAAGATGCGGTATGATTGCCAATGACACAACTCTCACCCAGAGACCAAATAGGTCACCGTACGGCATTCAAAACGAGCAAAACCGGTACTGCATAGTAAGCAATAACAGGACCTGGAATGACAAATGGAAAACAATTCAAACGACAAACCTAACGGCCTGATTTATGTTCAAAACAATGAACGAAAATCAAATATGATGTACACCAACAAACAAAAACCATTGAAGTACAGGCTCAATACTTGGGGCAGGCATAAAAAGAATGTGACGAGGTTAAAAATTTGTCCTGGCGCCAAACCCTCCCCCGTACTTTGGACGGTGCAATAACAGTACAACAGAAGAAAAAAACTATAGAAATCAGTTGAAAAAGGCTTTACTCATCAGATCGATGCAAAACAGCAAAACAGTTAACAAAACCATAGACCAGCCGTGGCAGGATATTTGAACATCCCTCACAACAAAAAAGACAAAAAGTTCAGATCTGAGAGTACTCGCAGTTACTGACAGCTAGTTCAAAGCCAATAACAACTCATAAAAAATCATGTATCTCAGGCTAAAATATCAGTAAGTACACATCTAAAATTCAATGGATTTAGTGTAAAGACGTCATTAACAGGCAGAGAAAAACATGACCTTGTGCAATGTCAAAATATAGGTATCGATAAAAATTATAGAACCGTGAATGTGTATATGTGTATTACAATAATATTTGGTATGGTTTTCATTTACTGATATCAAAATCAAAATTTATACCAACAAAAGCAATAATCAAAGATCTAATTACAGTGCTGAATTGGTAACCTTTCAGAAGAAGTTTTTTAAAGTAAAGTTTACCCGGATCGTATCTTAATTTACGGGATCTCTAAACAACATCACCGCCAAAACTAAGATGTGCTGTCTCGTATGTAATAAGTCTTCTATCGGTACAGCTTAACCTACAAACTAAATCTTTCTTTCTATGGTAGAATTTAGTAAAGGTTCTAATTAATTTGTGGTAACGAAATTCCTGACTTAATAATTAACCAGTTATACATAGATTACGTTCTTTTAAATCCAAAACGTCACTTCAGACACGGGTATAGCGAACAAGTTGTGATATATGAACACCTTAAGATGGTTCCCAAGGAATATCACCGTCCAAAAAACGAAAATGAACAATAGGGAAAGAAAACTCTTCCCTCTTGTCGTTAAGTTTTGTGTGGATTTTCCCGTGTAAAACGAAATATCTAAATCTAGGAAAGGACAGTTATTACCGTTTATATTTGATTTACGTAAAATAAGTTCCTATTGGGTAAATTTCGGCAGTATATTTCGAAAATTCTGGATTATTTAACTAATCATTTATCACCAAGATAACGATAAGTGTTGCTGAATTTATCAATTAAATACAATTTAGACGGGTATTTACGGAGTTTGGCCTACAAATTGTGCAGTACATTTAAGGGGTGCAATTGGGGACTCATAATAAACACCAGCGTCAGCGTTTCTATAGACGCATAAAAATATCGCTGACTCATAATCAGTCGTTAGCGTTTCTAATGGCGGATATAAGTAATCGAAGAATCCTAGTCCTCCGTCAGCGTTTCTTTAGGCTGGTATAACCATCGAGGACTTATAGTCAGCCGTCAGCGTTGTTAACGGCGGATATAACCAAGTGAGGATTCATAGTCCTTCGTCAGCGTTTCAACTCATTGTCCATCAGCCGAAGTACTGTAGGAGTATGTTACCATCGGAGATTCAAATTATTGTATCAGCGTTACTATGGATGGACCTAACTATCGGGAACTCATAGTCAACCATGAGCCGTACTATCGGCGGAGATTACCATCGGGATGTTACAATTAGTACGTTTCTTAACAAAAACAAATAAGATCTATCCAACGCAACCAAAACTGATTATATCAACACACGCCTTACAGATCTGTAGTTTACCTTCGTATACAATGCTAAATGATCGGACCAGATAGGCATTGATCCAAGCAGAAAAGGTATCAGGAAGATTTGTAGTGTCTATACTATTTATACGTCTTACATCACAACTTGTGTCGTCTTCATTATTTTTCGAGCAAAACAACAACGAAACGTTAGCAGCTGTATTACAACTCTCCTTTAAATCCTCCCACCTTGTTCTTCTGGTTGTTAATTCAAAATTTTGACAGTCTGCAATCTTGTCTATAATCATATAAACATGAAGAATAGAAATTGTTCTTATATATATATCTCTAAGTCACATTACAAATAATAATGACAAGATCACAAATTTAAAGTAAGTAAGTAAATTATTTATTATAGTGACATTTGTAAATATGTACATATTATAAAGATATACTTTATAAGATAAATATGAATACACCCGGCCCAATGGACCTATACGTCATAGATAATTATAAAAACATTTATCACGTTCTTGAAAATAACAAATTATTCATGAAATTGTCTTTTTGTTGAAGAAAGATATTTTTTTTTAATAACTATTTGTAAGCATAATTGCGTCTTTCAGAATATGTCTGTACGATGTATTTTGCTAGTTTTCGAGTATGACTCGATAATTAACAATTTAAGCTTTTCATTATTGTGTATAGATATAAAGGAAGTAGTAATCAAACCAAACACACGTTCTCGTATACCAGAATAGAATGTACAGTCTCAGTTTCGGCCACTTCTTCAGTGCAAAGTCTTTTTGCTGGTCGTTCACCAATATACCGTCCGGTTTCTATCCTGAGAGGTAATATTCCACATCTGAATTGTGCGTTCGACATTGGTTAAATTGATTTTTACATATTGTTCCCGATTAAAGACAGATTTGAAAGTTAAATAAGTACGAAGTTTGGTACATATTGTAACGTATGTGGCAAGACGGTAGTGTAAAGTGTGTCGTCCTAGTTAACTGTCAGATACAATACATTGCTTTATATAAACATTAAAGATGTGGTAGGATTTCCAAAGGGACATCTATTTACCAGAAAGGAGGAGAGCAACTATATGTCACGATATGGTATTCAACAAGGAGCAATTCATATTATCAAAGACAAAATCAAAGTTTATCCAGATTAAGACAATATTCAAAGTTTACTACATGTAAAATTGATAACCTTTATGAATGAGTTTATTCAAAAGATCAATAAGTTTACATTGATTGTATCTAAATTTATAAACTCTATAAATAACCTCACCACTAAATTTTTCTTGAATTATCATTCGTGGTCATATGTGATAATACATATACATGTATTAAGGTTGCAATGCTCTCTGAAGTGCTATGTAAGATCTTTTGATTCAAGTGCTCGCCAAGTTTTTAGAAATTATTTTTCCACACAAATAATAAAGTTTAAAAAGAAAACATTTCATGACATTCATGTCAGTGTTTCTGTATCATGTTTAGAAAGTTCGATAGATTCATTTTGTCTGCAATTTCCAGTTCATAAACTTATAAAGTTGTGCTTAAGTTAAGGTTTGAATTGCTTGAAGCATAGTTGATCAGAAATGACTTCTTAAGTTTAACCTCTTTGGATTCTGTTCTCTCTAACGCTTCATTTTTGTGGTTTTGCAAAAGTTTAGTCTCGAGAGTCAAAGTGGTACTCTGAAGAAAACATATGGTTTGGCGCTAAGAAATAATGACATTTGTGTTATGCAATGACAAAATTGATGGTGTAGGTATTTTGTCTAGTCGTTTAGTACTGTCAATAAATTACAATTGTTTAACACTTCTGCTCGGCGAAATAGAAGTCATGGCCACAGAAATTATACTGCTGTTCACACCGTGACAATTGATAGTCTGTTATCGTCTGTTCAAAAACCTCTAGGAATTCACCATATCAGAACTAAATTATACTCCATTCCATTATCTAAACTTTATTTACTATTTCAAGAGACCCTAAATAATTCCGTTATTGATTTCAATTCTGTTTTGTATAGATTAGTTGCAATAATCATGGACATTGTTAACCATAGACTATTCAAACCCGTATCTACTAATTCCAAAGATGAGGAAAAACGTAATTTGTTTTTAAAGTAGAATTCGCAAATAAAGGTTTAGATGCTATCAATATTAACAGTGTTTTCCACTAGAAATCTGTACAAAAAACTATACCTGATTACTTCAAAAATAAAGCTACACCTGTAACTTCATATACTTACACCAAGTCTATTGCATCCAAGATTTTCAACCACAAGAGGGTTTTAGAGGCCTTTAACTTCACAGATGTGAAATTCAAACCTTTAGATTGCTCATGTGCATCGTCAAAATACAATTATAGTCCAGCTGGTCATGTTATTACTGGCGACCTTGGCACTGTAACCAATGAACAACTAAGAGAGTTGTAAGCCAAGGGATCAAAACATAGAATTCCCCAGCCCATCAACTGGAAAAAGAACTTCGGGTTACTGATAGATGGAGTTGAGGACTATGATAGAAAATAGGTAAAGCGCGAACCAGACGAACCAGAATTGGACACTTTGTCTGAATGGATCAAAGCTATTCGATCATGCATTTTTAGAGCGCATTCAGAAAATACGATGTACTATAGGCACAAGGATTTCTAACCCATTCAAGAACCCGGAGGTTGTGGATGCTTTATCCTCTTTGCATGACAAATATGTCCTTGTTCCAGCAGACAAAGCCTCCAATAATATCGTCTTTGTATGTAAAAACCATTATTTGCAATGTCTCACAAAAGAGTTTAGAATAAACAGCACAACTGGTAATCCTACATATTCTTTAACATCATTTACAAATGATGAAATGTTACAAAATCACAAATCTGTCCTTCTTTATTTTGATATTAACATCAAAGAACAGGAAGAAAATCCACCGTCATTATACTGGATACTTCAAAAAACTCCTTATAAAGAATATCTTTCTAAAGTCCTGAATACTATTCTTTTTACAGTAAAAGATGGCCTTCAAAAATATTGTTATGAGATATATTCAACCATTGGTGTCAATCAGATGTGGAATCAAAAAAATTCTAATGACATATGCTAAATCTTAAATCACAAACTCTGCAATTTTGCAGCAACATTAAGACCTTTGATTTTTCTAAGCTTTACACTACTATTCCCCATGCTCAATTGAAAGATCGACTTCACCTTCTCATTTAACAGAGCTTTTTCTATAAAAATGGGAATCGAAGATATAAATTTCTTGTTTTTTTGGTTATTATAATTCTTATTTTGTGAAGAACCACACTGGTTCTATCAGAAAATATACTGAAGATGATATTATCAAAATGCTGGACTTTTTAATCGACAATATATTTGTTGAGTCGGTATTCAAATAGGTACTAATTGTGCACCCCTTCTGGCCGATTTGTTTTTGTACACGTATGAAGCAGAATTCATTCAGAACCTTCTAAAAGACAAAAAGAAAAAGCACCTTGTAAAATTCTTTAATTTTACTTTCAGATATATATATTGATGATGTTCTATTAATAAAAAACCCATATGTCAGTCAGTACTTGCATCTCATATATCCCAGTGAACTTGAAATTAAGGATACTACTGATACTAAAAGGACTGCTTCATACCTTGATCTGTTCCTCAATATCGACACAGATGGACGACTTCACACTAAAATCTATGACAAACGGAATGTTTTCAACTTCCCAATTATCAATATCTCATTTCTCAGCAGTAACATACCCTCTGCTCCGTCGTATGGTGTTTACATATCTCAATTAAAACTTTATGCTCGTGCACGTTCACACTATACGGACTTCATATACAGGAGTGTCCTCCTTACGCAGAAACTGCTCCAACAGAGTAATGAAGAGGAAAGATTAAAAATGACACTCCGTAAATTTTATGGACACCATCCACATTGGTTGATCTATACGATGTGTCTGTATCTAAACTAACTAACGACATTTTAACCACGTCTTAGAATGTGGTTTACCATCTACGTCGTCTGTCTGCTTAATACGGAAAGTGACCTAATCCCGAATATGACTGTTTTGCCGAATGTGAATTCGCATTGCTATACGACGTGTCTCGGTATTTATACATCCAACATTCATGTATTTAGTTATGATGTTTATTTTATAATATATATATAGGAAGATGTGTTATGAGTGCTAATGAGACAACTCTCCATCCAAGTAACAATTTATAAAAACACGGAGCATTGGCTCACAACGAACAGCAAGCTATAAAGGGCCCCAAAAATTACTAGTGTAAAACCATTCAAACGGGAAAACCAACTGTATAATCTATATAAAACGAGAAACGAGAACCACGTATGAACTACATAAACAGACGACAACTACTGTACATCAGATTCCTGACTTTTATAAGTACGGTTTGATATTGTGTTATGTCTTAATGTTTGCGGTTTGAATTCTGTATTTTCGGTGCATTTCACATATGTCTTACTTGTCAGTATAGTCGAGTTAATTTCCATTTTCCATGGATAAATTATTGTGGTAGTCCAAATAATTATGACGTCGTCACAGCATTGATTTAAAATAGCTTTTCAAGACCGTCATAATCATTATAATTATTTTGACTAGTATTGTGAAAATAATTGTAATTTGTTTATATCGTTCCATATAGTTGTATGAATTTCAAGATTATATATACGTCACAAAAATATGTCACTTTTTGTGGCGTTGATCCATTCATGTAAAGCAGTTTATGGTGTCCTGTGCTGTCGATAATTCATGGTAGATGGCCGTTGATATTCTGCGGTTTACATGTTGTAATGTAATATTTTATTATATTATTTATGCATGTCTCTGTGCTGAGTGTTCTTGCCTTTGTTTGTACTGTATTCCTTCACGTAGTGTTGTCGTTTTAACGATATCTTTTAACGTTGTCATATCAGCGGGAGGTTTTGCTAGCCATAAAACCAGGTTCAACCCACTGTTTTTTAAAATGTCTTGTACCAAGTCAGGAATATGGCAGTTGTTATCAAATAGTCCGTTTCTATGTATGTTGGCGTTTGCTTTTGTTGCAGTTCAGTGTTTCTGTTGTTCCGTTGTTTTCCTCTTATAGTTGATGTGTTTCTCTCGGTTTTAGTTTGTAACCCGGATTTGTTTTCTCTTAATCTATTTATGACTCTTGAACAGCGGTATACTACTGTTGCCTTTATTTATGCCTTTTTCTTAAAATGTCCTGTACCAAGTCAGGATTATGGCAGTTGTTATCAAAAAGTCCGTTTCTATGTATGTTGGCGTTTGTTTTTGTAGCAGTTCAGTGTTTATGTTGTTCTGTTGTTTTCCTCTTATAGTTGATGTGTTTCTCTCGGTTATGGTTTGTGACCCGGGTTTGTGTCAGTTAAATCGATTTATGACTATTGAACAGCAGTATACTAATGTTCCTTTTTTTTGTCAGCTTTATATAAAAATGTACAGATGTGGTATGATTGCCAATGAGACAACTATCCACAAGAGATAAGATGAAGTGGTAGTTAGCAATTATAGGCCACCGTACGGCCTTCAACAATGAGAAAACCCCATTCGTATAGCCGGCTATAAAAGGTCCCGACATGAAAAGTTTAAAACGAGAAAAGTAACGGCCTTATTTGAAACAAAACAATTTATGAAAAACAAATATGATAGCCACAAATAAACGACAACCATCATACAACTGGCTCGAGACTTGGGACATCCACATAAATACTGGTGGGGTTAAAAATGATTGTGAGCACTCACACTCCCCTAATCAGAAACAGTGGTGTAACAACATAACACATAAAACATGAGAACAAACTAAAAAAATCAGTTGAAATTGGCTCAACTCGAAAGATCGCTACGAAAAAAAAACTCTAAAATAAAAATAATAGACACAAAGCACCGAAATACGAGTACTGGCAGTTACTGAAATTTAGTTCAAATTAAAGCCAATAACAACTAATAAATAAATCATGTTCTCCCAGGCTAAAGTATCAATCAATACACACCCAATAGATTAATTTAAAGACGTCAAAAACGGTCTGAAAAAGGCTCGACCTTGTGCAATGTCAAAATATAAGTAAACGGTATCAACATGATGTAGGATCATGAGTTCGCATAACTGTACGTATACAGCAATATATATTTAGTTCTGTTTTAATTTTTCATAAAACAAAATCAATGTTAGTACCGACAAAAACAATACATTAAGAATAAGTTTAATCAATTGTCTCTATTATCGCGATTCTTAATTTAAGGTGGTTCATAACACTACAGGGAGATAACTCTGTAAAAACCAGCTGAACGTTTTAATCATGTTCTATTGTTAAGGAAATATAAGAGCCTCAATGATCAAAATTAGTGTTTGTCAAACTGCTATATATCCAATGAAATTTTTCCGATAAGTGTGTGGTTCAAGTTTTTTGAAATCTTTTTTTTTTATATTTTTATCAAGGGTCAAAGTAAATATTTTGTCAAAATTTCATGAAAATTTAACGAACCAAATTAATTTTAGTCAATGTGTTTGGTACCACCTTAAAACATATTTACTATAAATGGATATGTTATCAAATCATCAGGAAATTATATTTGGATGCTTTCACACTTGAATAATTTAGTCTCTATTCAAACTTAATTGATTCCACAACATCTGAGAATAACGTTTATTATCATGATTATATACTCAGAACAAAAAAGACGTTTGAATGTCATTATGACTAATTGGCTGTTGCCTTATAAAATATACATATATTTTAGTATATATAGTGATCTTATATAATTTTTGTAACCGTATGTATAGATCACGAATGGTTTAGATGCTTGTATTTTTTTTTTATTCATTTTTTTTCAGGCTGACATTTAGATAATATTTTTATTTGTTTTAGCTGGATATCTGCCTAAGTGTAGCAAACACAAATTTCCTTTGATGTACATTAGTAATACTGTCAATGATGATGACATTGTCCGCTTGCTATTGATAATTTATCAAACACAAGGAAATTTTGCTTTTGACAATGTTTTAATACATGTCAATCAAATTTTAGTGCTACATTCAATTGTCAACAAGTTTGTTTTTCAGCCAAAATTTATTTTGTAAATAAACAGAACGTGACAAATTAAAACAAATGAGTCGCTTTATTGTTTGCAAATGTTGTTTTAAATTGTCACTATTTTGTACGAGAAGAAATATAGTATTTTAACTAAACAGTGCCGTCCTCTTGCTTATTAATAAACGAGTAACGTAATGTTCCCTTTAACATGATATTGTGAATAATTACAATACTTACATAGCGTAAACGTCAAAATCCAAACTAGAAGAAACAGTCTTAATTTCCCACAATTCTCAATGCTGAGTGTCATTTTATACTGTAGTCATCCTCGAATTAAACAATGTTATATTTGCGTGCTATAAAACACACACGAAGAATAGCATATACTCTTGTCTCCCGAACAATTTCACATACATATATGTATGGTTATATGATGATTAATGAATTGCTCTATCAGACGCACTGGCTATTTCCATCGACAGAAAAATCCAATTGAAATTACTTCCGTTTCTAAAAAATCATTTGAGCTTTCGGTTCTACCGAAACTATCATAACATGTTATTTACAATGTTCTATTTTTATCTGCTTCTGTTTTGCAGAATGATAAACTAATAAACATTATCATTTATTTTTGTCCTATTTATTAAAACATTAAACCAATAGCTATAGAATATAAGAAGTAGATAGAATTGCATGTTATGATAAAAGCATTATGTGGATCCAAAGAAGGGGGACGTGGTGAAAGCGGCTTGATTTTTGGCCATCATCTTATCTTAAAAACCAGATTTTACTGTTACAGAAATATGTTTTCTCTTTCTACCAATAATTAACTGTTGCGGTGGTCATATCCAACATTTTGTCCAATGGCAAATATTTCATATAGATTCATGACTAGAACAAATTACCTTCTCATGCTTCCAGTATTTTCTTATTTTTTTCAATAACGTTTCTTTGTCTTTATGAGAAGAATGATAACGCTATGTGCATATTTTCTTAAGATATATTTATAACTAGGTTATTACATTATTTAATTCTGTTATCTTTATATAAACCTAAATTTAGAATACACATGCTATAAACAATTTAAGTCAGCTAGAAATCACCTCATAATCACATAGTTCAGCTTTTAAATATAATATTAGGAATACTTCTGAACAAAAATTCAAGTTACTTATAGTAATCTGTGTTTGACTATATCAAAATAATAAACGATGTTCCAAAATATAAACTTTTATCTAAACACGTTTTCCATTCGAATGTTAAAATTCCTTAATTTAAAAAGGCCACTATTCATAATAGTGCGTCATCACGCACAAACAGACTATAACTATAAACACCTGTTACCAAGTTGTTTAAATAGACCAAGCAACATTGCATTGTAAACGTATAAAGACAAATCAATCTTTATTTTAACTTCCTTGTTGTTATGTGATGAGTTGGTTATAACAGACTCGAGGTACCAACAACAATAATAATTATTCATTACCAATAAAGGTGCAAACTGAGGGGCAGAGCAAGGCCGTAACTAGGCATATTATTTTAGTGAGGCAGAACTGATCGCCGAGCGGAGCGAGGTGAAAAAAATCGAGCAGAGCGAAGCGAGGCAAACAATTTCGGCAGGGGGTCTGGGACATTACGACATGTACTAACACCAAATATTTAACATCTTTATCTAAATTCATATGTCACATAAACATCCATATTTGAGTCTGCCGCCAGAACATAGAACAAACATCGACTCAGTAGCAATTGTTATTTAAATTGGAGTTTGCCAATTTTCTACATTGTTCTAGGGCCGGTTTCCTGGAAATTGGATATAACTATATCGTTTTATGTTATTCTAGGAATATTGAATTTTATCTCTGTTTACATGTTACTGTAGGGCCATGATTTCAGATTATTTCTGGAAATAGTCAGTGGTAAAATATTTTAGATCGACAATCGAATAATAAGGGGGTAGGAGGGGGTCCTATCCCGAAATTCCGAATTAAAAGACATGAAATCCAGTGGTCCCGAATTAGAAAACACGAAATCTCGTTTTAAAGGTCATACCGTCCCTCAATAATCATTTGGTCAAAATTTGTTACGGGATGTTCTTTCAAATTTTAAGGCAAAAGAAACATGGATAAAAACTCATCCATGCAGGTTTTCATATTATTTATATTTAGTTTATCTGTAAAGAGAACGAATAAAGTTAGGGAAAACGGGGAAATGGATACTCAGACAGGACTGCTCCTGTGCGGTGCCCCATGACTTTATTTGTCAGTCTATATAGTTTTGGCATTAGTTCCAAAGAAAATATATCCAATACTGGAACTCTTAACACCTGTTGTGATCACAAATAACATCCATTAAGTCACCATAATAGTAACCTGTTTTTTTTTTAAAGAAAATTAAACCTTGAGTTCGAGTCTATGATACTAAACCTATATGTAGGCCGTAACCCCTTTACATGCATGTCACAAGCCGAAGATGCAAAAAAAATATTTCAGAAAAACTGCGAATTGATACTGGAACAGAACTGAAATTAAATGTATTTTATTTTTATCAAATACTTTTCTCTTTTCAAGAAAAATCAAACTGATATACTGCAATGTACATAGCGCAGTAGGCAAAAGAAAGCAATTACAAGATTAATACTTTTTTAAAAACCATTTTACTAATATTAAAACACAACTGGTAGCAACAAGATGACTTATTTTCAGGTTTGAATTGTTTGTGTCGGGATCTTTTAGAGCTTACTATTCGGTATGAATTTTTTCACTGTCGAGGGCTGTATGGTGATATATAGTTGCTTTCATCTGTCATTTTGGGTCTGGTGGATAGTTGTTTCGTTTGCAATCATACCACATCTTTTTATTTTAAATTTGTTAATCAAATAAACGATTATTAATATCTTAAACTTAAATAATCTCAAGCATACACCATGAGAGAGAGATGTGTATTATTAGTTGATTTATTATTGTGTTGCTAAATATCAGAATTAATTTGATGTAGCCCCTTGTCACGTATGATATCGTTAATTATCGCGGGATTTAAACTCAAACGCGCACAGGATTTCGAGATCAGCGTTGATAAGTCGCTTATGTGAAACTGGTCTATTATTCCTTCCTCACCTTCAGTATCGCTTTTCCTTTTCCTGCAAGAGCCTGTTTTTAACCACAGATCCATGATGATTTCCATGAGGTTAATGTAATCGAGAAACATCACCCGGTGAGATACAGAGTTATATATTCGGGAAGAATAATTCACAAGGAACGATGTCAAGTTATAGATTGAGACAGAAAAAACAAATGACTATATTTCGTATTTGATTACCATAGACAAATACACAAAAAAAAAATCAGTGTCGAAATTTAGTGAGGCAATTGCCTCACTTGCCTCAATGGTAGTTACGGCCTTGCAGAGGAATAACATTCATACAGTGTACAATGTACATTCATAAAATAACATAACATAACATAGCAATGTGACATAGTGGATAAAGTTCATTTCTGTGTATTTCTTATTTCAGAATTCTGAACTTGAATTCATTTATTTCAAATTTTTTCTATAATTTATGCATTACATTTTCTGAAATTTTAATTAAGGGTGTAATAGTCGTGATGTTTATAATAACTTTCTTAAATATCATTTTATTGAGGATTTAGTTAGTCACTAACTGTTTCAAAAATTGTGTGAACAAAACTTTTAAGGGATTATGTTAAGGAGAGGCGACATACACCAAAGGGACATCCAAACTCATAAGTCAAAAATAACTAGCATACATCAAACGATTCATGTTACAATTCTAATGATTTTATAGTATATCCAGAATCCTACAGACACTGCAAACTACAGGATCACGTAGAGGGGAGACGTACTGAAGCAGCTATGTTATAGGAGCAGGATAATCGAAATATATACGGCATTTAAAATACAAGACAAAATTTAAAGCATTGAAACTGGCGCACGAATAAAAGAAAATATATTTACGATAGGGCATACGTTAAAAAATTAAAGTTGTGATTTATCAAACCGGAAATTTATAAATTTACTGTGGTAGGAAAATATATATATATCATTTCGAATATCGTCATATTGATTAGTAGTTAATTCGATTTCATGATCTAAGATTTAATGTCAATGTTGTCACAAACTGATATTGAATATCAAAAAACCAAGACAAACCGCATACTCCAAAAACAAAAACAATCCAAAGAATAATCGAGGATTTCACAATAAAAAAAAAAAAAGATGACCCAAATGGGGAAGAATAACCTGCTTTTCCAATCTGTATTTTATTAGCTATTTTATCGAGTTACGTATCGCATAAGTTACTTCTGGGTACAATTGTAGAATCTCAAAATGACTAATACATTCCTACCCGGACTGTCTGTCCGACCTATCTTTCTTCAGTGATGTAGAGCTCTATTTATTGTCACAGTTTTACACGTTCATGTTTTTTTAATGGATTAAGAAAAGTATTATAAAAACATGCAGCTATTCACAATGGAGAGGAGCACTTACTATGTAAAGAGTGGTAGGGTTGAGCCGCTAAAATAGGTCACTATATTCAGCCACGTGGTATATAATCAGGTAGATATATTTTGATGAAATATATGAAAAGGTTGATGATTAAATCATCAATATCTGAAACTAATCAGATTTCATTTATTTTTGTCACAGATGCAATTAAAAACCACTGTCGTAAATGCAAAAGATATTTAGTAGTATTTGTCAACATGAAGATTTACAAAGATTAGAAATTCTGATAAACCAGTGATACATGTTTGTGTGTGATAATTAATCATTTCACAACAATAAATAAAGATATCAACAGTTAAATCATACACATTTTTTGACTCTGAAAGACAACAGAAACTAATGTAATTAAAATTCATTACAGTGTTAGAAACATGTTCGGAAACGTAGTGCTTTTGACAATTCTATGCTTTACTTTTCGGGGCTCTGGTTTATCACAAGAAGGAAAAGCGGAACATTACGATATATTACAGAATATTAACAGAGTATCCAGAATGGTTAGATTTATCAATAAATCTCCAAACAGTTTTGAGATTTTCACAAAAGCTGCAGCTAAATTATCAACTTCTGGGAATATCTTCAACTATGTTAATGCAGGACATCACATGACAACTTATAAACGTGATGATGTTGGCGTAAAAAACTTTTTTGCAGAAAATGTAACGGACGTTCCATTGAATATTACAACAGAATCTATAGAAACGACAGTATCACCCACACCGACAATATCAGAGCTTTGTTTGAACCATTCACAACTCGTTTCACAGGCGTTACAAAGGCAAGATTACTGGGCGATGAGAAGTAAGGGTCTGGAATAATAGTTGTGTTGCTTTGAAGGGCATATTCTTCACTTTCTTTCAATTTCATTTCTAAGTTATACAAATCAACGCTTAATGAAGGTAAATCAAAATAATTGAATACTAGTACTTGATTTTTCTCATTTTGTTGTATGTAGATGGTTCGATTTTCTGAACTAACTGGTGAGTAAGGTAAAATTATGATTACCTTGCAGAGTGTTTGTTCAATGTAATTTTTCTAAATTTAAAACTGTAAAAAGAGAAGGTATCAATGGGCAATGCTCAATTAAAAGAGAAGGTATCAATAGGCAATGATATATAAAAAAAAAGGGCAAAGATACCAAGGGACAATGATTTAAAAAAAAAAAAGAGGGAGAAAATATCACGGGACAATGATTTAAAAAAGAGGAAGAGTGATGATCTACAAATGGGGGAGAATATACTCCGCCGTTGATAATCTAAAAACGAGGGAGAACATACCCCAAGGGAGGGTGATCCGAAAAAGTTGGAGAAGTCACTATGGGGCAAGCACCTAAAAATAAGGGAGGTTATACCATTATACCTTTGAAAAAGGGGGATAACTTACGAAGGGGTAATTGCTTATCAATATTTTTTAAATGTGAAACTTAATTTTGCAGTGGTTGACGCTGCAGGTAAGCCATCTTCCAACATTCTAAGCGGTGGATTGATGTGGTTAGGTAGCTATGATGAGTGTTTAGAGATAAAAGTTGTAGCAGACCACAATAATATCACATATAGATTTGATGGACAGTATTGTAAAGTATACATAGTACCTCAAGGCGAACTCAGTAAAATCTTGCCTGTAAGTTTTATATATGTGATTAGATATATGTGAAAAGGGGGATGAGGTCTTCTTGTTTTTAGTTAGAACAAAACTGACCAAAGATACCAGGCTTTGGTCGCACGTTTCGTATGTATACAACCAATCAGTGGCTTTAGACATATAGCAATTGGAAGGCCAAATGTTTGAGGAAGTTTAAGGCAGTGAAAACGAAATATTGCATAACATTATGTCAACTCTGGCTAAGTCCATCTATGCCTGAGGTTAAAAAACTTTATGAAAAAAAAAAATCTTAAAAATATTCTAGATTAGAAAAAATTGTATTTGCAAAAAAAGAATAAAATATTTACCTACCAGAAAATCAAACCATTTGTCATTTTTGCTTGTAGTAGTGTGTATTTGCTCAATCGTCATGTTCGTATGAATGTTTATACTTTTCAGGCTCAATCAGTTATACAGTTAGGAGTATGTGTCCCAGATAGCTGTAGTGCTACAGATACTTGGCTCCTCGTCAATAACGGTAATACATCAATTTTTTTTCTACGGTTTGTTTACAAACCAAATCTTAAGTGTACAATAGTAATAAATAATCGTTAGTGAGCAGACAGATAACACTATGACAAAATCAAAGGATAACTGCGTAATCCATGTACAACTTAATACGCATTAATTAATGGAGTAAATATGCCTGTATTATAACATAAGATCAGATAACTTTATTGAGATCAGCATTTTAAAAAGTGCAATAGCATCAGTAACCTGCTTTATTTATTTTGTTAACGTTTATAAAATGATTGGTCTGTGTAACACTGTTTAGAAAATTCAAGAAATAAAAACAAACAAGTCGCATCAATTATAAGTGACATTATCATGAAAATTGAAGAAGGAACAACCTGAGATTTTTTTTTCAAACTTAATGTTTTATATAAAATCTATAGAGAAAAATGCTGAAAGATATTACTTTTGTCAACATACTATATATTAGATGAAGACTTTCTTAGTTGGACCAAGTTGTGTCTTATCCCTTTTGTTCTATTTCTTACAAATTAAATATGTTTAAACTAAACCTAATTTGAAAAAGGTCCATATTTTAAATTAATATTACAGACGTAACAATACACAATAATATTCATCATCAAAGATTCCAGGCTTATTATTTGGTACGCCAGACGCGAATTTCGTCTACAATAAGACTCATTAGTAGCGCTCAAACATCGTTGTCAATATAATGGAATTTTATATGACTGTCATAAAAGTGAGAGGTTTAGCTAGCTACAAAACCAGGTTTAATCCACCATTTACGACATAAGAAAATGCCTGTACCAAGTCAGGAATATGACAGTTGTTATCCATTCGTTTAATGTGTTTGAGCTATTGAATTTGCCATTTACTTAGGGACTTTCCGTTTAGAATTTTCCTCGGAGTTATGTATTTTTGTAATTTTACTTTTTTCAAATCAATACAATTTAAAGGCCAAATAAATACGATACTTCGGTATATGTCGGTATTAATTGATTAATAACTTACTACGTCATTCTAAATCGGGGTAGGCTAAATTATCCAAATAAACTGTTAACACAGAAATGTGTCTCGCCTATTTGTTATTTTGATAATGCAAATGTGAAAATAAAATAGCAAATACTTTGTCATGTTAGTTATGCAAATATTCAAAGTCAATGAACCATGACTGAAGGTACAGGGTTAAACAATCTCCATGAAAATAATCTGTGCCATTGCTAATACAACTGCATACCAAATACCATTTACTTTTCATAAGTCCTTCTCTTTAAATAAACATAAACACAAACTTTAACTTGTAAACTATGTAAAAGTTTCAAAGTCAATGAACCATAATGACGGGGTGGGGTTATATAATCTCCATGGAAATAAAACTTGCAAATGCCAATACATTTGCATACCAAATATCATTCACTTAACATTAGTGGTTCATCTTAAACTGACCTAATTACAAGCTAATACATGAAAACTAAGCAAACGTTTCAAAGTCAATAGACCATGACTGAGGGGTAAGGACCCAATATTCTCCATGGAAATGAGATGTGCTAATGCTCATACAATTGCATACCAATTATCATTGACCTACCACTAACGGTTCCCCTTAAACTGACCTAATCACAAACTAATACATGAAAACTAAGCAAAAGTTTCATAGTCAATAGACCATGACTGAGGGGTAAGGACCAAATACTCTCCATGGAAATGAGATGTGCTAATGCTCATACAACTGCATACCAATTATCATTTTATGTTTTTCGTCAATAATTGTCTTTTTTCTTTAAAGCATCAACCGACTTTGTATACATTTTTTCTACTACCTTAATTTTTTGAAAAATGTGCAACGAACGTTCGCATGCCAACTGTTAGAGAATTGTTGTAAATATGTCGTTACTAATATGAAAATTTTGTATTGTTATGTAGTGTTACCTGCCATTTCTGATGCACTTTTGGCATGGCCTGGGGAATGCATAGCACCAGATCAACCATTCGATACTAGAGCAATTATCGTTCTGTGAGTAAACAGTATTAACACAACGTTTGACTTTAAAAATGTTGAATGCGTCATTAAACGACAACCATACACAAATGTCTTTAAAGGTCAACATCAGTATTCAACAATAAACAAGTCTCTCAACAATGCGTTGGTCTTTAAACCTCAAGTCTAGTAAAAATATTAATAAAGACTATCAACATTCTGCCATCAACACTTTGTTCCATAAGGTAAAAACAAAGGAGTAATGTATAAAGCCAGTCAATGACAGTGAAATAAACATGTGGCGACAAAGGAGTAATGACAGTGAAATAAACCTCTGGCGCGAAAGTAGGTGACACTATGGCCTGTTACCAACGGTGGTCGATTTTTGAGGTACCCCTTATGGTTTGTCAATGAGTTTTCGTCTACAGTTATATTAACATATAGCCATATTTCATTCCCATGAAAATGATTTGGTCCAGCCCTCTCAAACACGGACTATTTGCATAGTTTACGGTCAAAATTGTGATTAAGTAAGTTAAGATAAGGAATGTCAACTCGGTGAAGAATTAGAAATCGAGTACTCGTTGTCTTTACCGAGCGATACTCGATTACTCATCGGAAAATATCTACAAAATGGAAATACAAAATTAAACCTATCTTGCGCTATGTGGGTCGTTGTATGATAGACATAAAATCCTCAAAGAATTTGATAATAATCCCATGAATGTTATACCATTATTAATAGCTCATTAACTACATCTATTATTTATGTAAACGATAACCTAATCAAAAATTTAATAAACACATATTGCAAAATGATTACAAAGTCAAACCAGATTAAACACCAATATTTGGTAATTGTAAAGAAACACATTGAGTTATAGATTCTAGGTGCTGAAGTGAAGTATCTTTTAATTACTGTACAGTTTTCCCTGTATTGACTTTGTGCTATTATCTTCCTTTTGGTCGTTTGACTCTTGACGTGACTTGGTATTTATGCATCCAGCGATCGGGTTTTTTGGCTTTGACATTCCTGGTGTAGGTGGTTCCAGAGGTGCAATTCGGACACAAGAGATTTTTTACAGTGTTTTCAATTCATCAACCCTTGTATTTACATGTTATCTAATTTGTACTTTATCGAAAAAATGTATACTATATACTGTATGTACTATCAACTACAATAATGTTTTTGTTACCGACTTTGTTAGATTTTTTTGTATGTCTGTTTGAATCTTTTAGTCTAATGTGTTGTGTGTCTATGGTGTATGTTCTCTGCTGCTGGGTCCCAGTTATTGTCATATTTACCTACTATACCTGTTTTTGTTGCTCACCAAATTTTGTTGAATACACCGAAACAATAAAAAAAATTCATTTAAGTGGGAGGTTAAGCTAGCTGTTAAAACATGTTTAGTCCACAATTTTGTTCGAAAAATGACTGTGCCAAGTCAGGTATATGACAGTTGTTTTCCATTCTAACGTTTGAAGGGGCCACGGTGCCCGAGTGGGATAAGTAGTCGGTCTACTGCATTACTAGCCTGTCAACACTGAGGTTATTACTTCGAATCCCGCATTTTGCAGGTGCGCTCGACTCCAATCTTACTTGACTAGGATTGTCAGTTTTCCTACCGTAGGTCGGTGGTTCTCTCCTGGCACTCAGGTTTCCACCACCAATAAAAATGCATCGCCATAAAAAAGCATAATAGTGCTAAAAGAGAAAAAAAAAACAATTAATCAATCAATCAATCTAACTTTATATTTTGTCAGATTTTATGGACCTCCCCTTTTTGTTTTATTATGTTATATACTTTTTTTATCATAATGGAATGAGTGAACAACAGCAATATCATGAAAGATAGTAAGTAAAGAAAAAGTACATGTCTTTGCTTCAAAAAATATGAATATAATACTGAAATGGCGGTGAAAATACAACGTGCATCCTTGAATATTTTTACAATTGAGACCTTTTTGTTAAAATGTGTTAACGAATTATAGTTAAATAGTATATGTATCTTTTGTATAGATATTATGTAATGAAAATATTTTTGCCAACCAAATCAAATACGTCACTGTGAATATTTGTATATCAAAACAAAGTAAGAATGTTCCATGATTAAGGAATCTTTCGAAACGTCTGGATAATTTATTGTAAATTCTTTTTCTCGTAAGATCGATCTTTTTTCAAATATATGCATCGTGTGTAATTAGGTTTGTCAAAGTACCTTTTTGCAAACCCAAACACATATTTTATCAAGGAAAAAATGATGGCTCAAACAAGAGGCGAAAGATACTAAGGGAAAATTTAAAACTCATAAGTCGAAAGGGTACTGATAAAGCAATGACACAAAACGAAACACGAAGAAAAAAAACCCAAGGACACGCACTACATAGAAAACTAAAGCATGAACAACTCGAAAGGGTAAGTAGATACTGATCTACAGGTGGCACGGTCATTTTCCTTACTATAAGTACAACAAAGCAACATGAATCACACCAAAACTGGGGGTGGTCTCAAGTCCTCCCAAAAAGTAGGAAAGTAAAATGTATATGTTATGGGTCAAAATTATCAATTATTGGTCAAACATTATTCCATTTGAAAATCACATCATATAGTTTCTTTTAACGTATTGAAAAACACGATTAATCTTTTCTTTTGTACAGAGTTTAGCTAGTACCAATAGGAATATGGTAGTTGTTTTTCACTTGTTGCGTTGGATTTCTCAATTTTTATGAACTTCCCTTTTTTGGGTCCTTTTTATCAAAAAGCTCTTCAACTGTTGGTTACTTTTCAAACGAATTGTAGCAATATTAGTTTGCCTTTTGTTGCGGTCAGACACATTTTATCTTTTTGTTATAATAAATACAAACTGTACAAAGTTGTTGTACTATTATGAATTCTACATAGTTCTATTCTACAGAAGCATCTTTATGAATTACACATTGCTTCTGTTTCAGGGTTGTTCTATCAGTATTTATGGCAGTAATGGCAATTGGAACTGCTTATGATGTTCTTCTCATACAATGGCCAAGATGGAAGGAGACCAAAACCATTTCTGAAAATAGTGAAGAGATTGCAGTAGAGGTAGATGAAAAAGCACCATTATTAGACAATCAGAAGAAAAAAATACCTGAAAATCAGCCAGGTTAATAAATTACATGTCATCTTCATTTTTTACAGCACTGGATCGATACCCCTGCTGGTGGACTATCAGTCCCCGAGGGTATCATCAGCTCAGTAGTCAGTACTTCGATACTGTTTTTGGTATTTTTTTGTCATATAGCTCTTCAATTGTTTAGGTTATCATACATTCTTGGTTTTTAAATATTCGGCTTTGAGCGTTCCTGATGAAGGTAAATCCAGATAAGCGCTTCGGACGCATGAAATTTATATTGTGTTGTTTTTCATTTTTTACAGCACTGGATCGATACATCTGCTGGTGGACTATCAGTCCCCGAGTGTATCGTCAGCTAAGTAGTCAGTACTTCGGTACTGACATGATTTATAACTAATTTTTCTAAAATTGCCCGTTGATAAATTTTGAAATTATAAGAAACTTAGGTTTCAACTCCCTCAGGCAAAGTTGACCTTAGATAAATTTGGCTATTGCTTTGGGTCCTTTTTGGTCATATAGCTCTTCAACTGTTTAGGTTATTATAAATTCTTGGAATTCAAATATTCGGCTTTGAGCGTTCCTGATGAAGGTAAATCCAGAAAAGCGCTTCGGACGCATGAAATTTATAATGTGTTGTTTTCATTTTTAACGGTAATAAAGGCAACCAGACACGTTAACATATCTCTGTTGACATTCAACTCTCATGGACGCATATGTGTGTTAAGATGATACGAACGTCATGAATTAGAATGTACTCCAAATTCCTAAAGACATAACACTGCCGGGTTATGCAGAAGAACGACATACATTAACACTTCAAAGGTTTTAGGGTCATTTTAACCTTATAACCTTAGCCGTATTTGGCACAACTTTTTGGAACTTTTGGTCCTCAATGCTCTTCAACTTTGTACTTGTTTTGGCTTTCGTACTTTTTTTATCTGAGCGTCACTGGTTAGTCTTGTGTGGACGAAACGCGCGTCTTGCGTATTAAATTTTAAACCTGGTACCTTTTGTTAGCTATTATTCGTATGTTTCTCTGTCCTATATGTTCTCCCATTTATTTGTATTGTAGTCCTGTCATGTATTGTTGTCATTTTAATGTTATATTTAACATTGCCATAAAAGCGGGAGGTTTGGCTAGTCACAAAACCAGGTTCAACCCACCATTTCTTTCTTAAAATGTCCTGTACCAAGTCAGGAAAATGGCCATTGTTATATTATAGTTCGTTTCTGTGTGTGTTACATTTTAATGTTGTGTTTCTGTTGTGTCGTAGTTCTCCTCAGATATTTGATGTGTTTCCCTCAGTTTTAGTTTGTAACCCGGATTTGTTTTTTTCTCAATCGATTTATGAATTTCGAACAGCGGTATACTACTGTTGCCTTTATTTAACAAACTGATTGACCTTTAATCCTTCAGTGTTTTGTTTTACGTTGATTTATCTCTTCTTGAATGATTTAAGTGATTGGAACATTAGCAAGCTGCTGTCGCCTTAATTTAAACATCGAAAAACTTCTGTTGTCTCCAATTCATCAGATTTATTCTAACAAAGTTTTGTATAGATGCATGTCTAGCAGGCAGCCCCATCTATGCCCATCTTCTTTTTCCGCCATTCAAATTAAGACTCAGTCCAAATTTCAGAATAGAGAATATGACACAATCTGTATATTATCAAACGACTACTAGTATTCAAGTCAAGGGATTGGGATGTACAGAGTTAGAGAGTTTTTTTTATAATATATGTATTTCTTACAATATTTACTTCTCAGGGTTGATTGGAGATCTGTTGTTAGCCTTTTCGATCTATACTAATGGAGCTAAACTGTTTAATACAAAGCAAAATAAAGACATACTGACATGTATAAATGGAATACGATTTATTTCCATGACGTGGGTCATCCTTGGACATACATATTCAATGCCTTTACAGATGTCAGGTATGTATTATTGTTTAATATAAGTAACAATAATATGATACCAAATAAAAAGTATGAAAGAAAACAAATAATTACATTTCAGATGCTTCATATCAATCGGCCTTAAATTCTTCATGAATAAAACAGATTTGTTGGTTCAAAAAAGAGAGAGAGAGAAGATATCAAGGATGTTATTCGAAGATCAGAAGTAAAACAAAACACCATGGCAACACGTACTAATGACAAAAGGACAAACAACTATAACACAAAATAACATACAAAACCAAAGACCGGGCAAAACGAACACCACCCAAAACCGGGGGTGAACTCATGTGCTGCAAACGGGTATGCTGTTCGTGCAGTACAGGTGGCACCCGTCGTGTTGCTCATGCAAGTAGAAATATTGTGGTTAGTCTCATTCGATGATTGCACAATCGAGGAAAAGAGGACGAGATTGTGGTCACAAATATTTAAACGTATATGTGGTCATCTATGACACAATAATACATAGGTACGCATTGGTCAAATAGGAACTCAACAATACATGGTCAGGGCCCGTATGCATAAAGCTACTTAAGTTAAGATTTTCCTTAGTAAACACTTAAGTTAAGGAAACTCCGCCCTTTTTACCTAAGTGGTATGCATAAAAAATCTTGAACTAAGTATTTCCTTAGTAAATTCTTAGTTGGTTTAAGTCACGCCCACACAACTTAAGTGGTATGCATAAAACCCCTTATACTAAGAAAACGCCTAAGATTATACTTAAGTATAAGGTACCTATAGAGCTACCTTAACTTTTCTAAAATATATAAAATCAGTCGAATGTATGCGTTTTTTGCAGAACATTGATATATTAGCTCCCATTTAATTGAATAATAAATATATTCAGTAATATTTCGTTTGTTTATTGCTAAATATTAACGATCATTGTAATTTTCGAAAGATCACCTATAATCAACAAAACCAAGAGATAACAGAGGGTAGTTTTATAATTTCATTCTACCCTTATTTCTCAATCTCGTTGGTGTGTATTCCGAAAAGTGCTCACAGTTTTTACACGCATGGAATTCATGCATTTATTTTTCTTTTGATTTGTTCGTGCCTGCTTTCACAAATAACATTAAATGTTAGATTGATAAAATACATCGCCTGGTATCGATTGTAACTTTTAGTACAAAAATGTAAGAAGATCTTAAGGCATGCAAAATCCTGTTTTCTTGGGGGACATCGGTTTAATTTTCAATTATATTGTTTTTTTTTCTACATATATTGGGCAAATTTCCCCTAAATTTGTTTCACTAATTGGGACAAAATCAAAACGTTTTAAGACCTACTCCGTGGAATTCGAAGTTTATATATATCATATATTCATGATACTTATTTTTTTTGTATTTCCTTATATATTCTGCAAATTTTGCATAGAAGGAAGACTCTCAACTTTAAATAAATTATGGTGTATCTGAAATAAATGTATGTTATAACTTCCAATTTTGGTTTTGGTTAAGAAAATCCTTCATGTCAGTTTTAGATAATTACTAAAATTTTCTAAAATCTGGCCAGAATGCATGCAGTTTTGAGTTATCTTTACGCATTGATAACTTTCACGCAAAATATTCAGAAATACGCAAAGATGTTGATAATACCTTACAGTAAACATATGAATCTAATAATGTGTGTCTTAGTAAAAAATCGAAGGGCTTTTGAAAAAGGCCCCTGATTTGCTATGATTTCGTGAAAAATTTACCCTACCATCTTTTTTTATTGTTATAAAGAGGGAGTGAAAAAAAAAGTTTCAAATCGAAATAGATTTCAAAACATCTTATCAATATATTTTAGGATAAAAAAAATATACTGTTGACTCTAGAAAATAAACATGCCTTCCATCCAGCATCACCCATAAAAGATGAATGGTCGGTGCCTTAGAGATGGAACAAATCTGTTTAATAAATACGACAAATTGGAACCTTTTTTAAATGAAGATTTTACTATCACATATCATTATTAGATGGATGATTTGCTACAAGATAATGTTGAGTATCCATTTAGAGACTCCTCGTGTAATTGAAGTTTTGTTTGCAATAAAAAAAAAAATTGCTAGAGGATAATTCGATATTTTTTTTTTTTTTATATTTTACATTTATCACGCCATGCATAAGTCGTCCCACTTCTTTTGGATCTCTTAAAAATCTCTCCTCATTTAATGTTCTCTACTTATTAAATTGCTTTCTATTTTTTATTTTCTTCTATCCATAAGAGTGACTGGCAAATAGAAATACGGTCACTTCGGTCTATTTCCGACCGGCAGTAAAACCCTTGTCAAAGTGGGGCGTCCGTTTTTCCAGGATGTATAAGTACGCAACCACGTACGGTCAGAATTGGGATCGTGTAGAGAGAGATTGGTATTGGTTATTTGTTCTCGTCCTGATGATGCATGCCATATTTGCCATTGGACTTTAGGCAAGCATCAATACATCAATCAATTTCCTTTCAAGCCCGTTTCATCTCTCCTTTAGTAACAGTAGTGGGAAGTTTTGCATTACAAATATTGTTTCTCTTATGCGTCAATTTTTTATTTGTTTGGACATTTAAAGTGGTTACGTATTTTTTAATTGTTTTACACACCAACATCCATTTAAACCAAGTTAATAAAAGTATGTATTGTTCAATCAATGTTAATAATCAAAACAAACTTTTACACGGATGAGTACATGCGATGAGCTAACATATATCATACGGTAATTAGAGAAAGGTTCCGATTTAAGTATTCCTAAGTTAAGTGATGACTTAAGTAATTTTATGCATACCACTTAAGAATTTTACTTAACTAAGGGAATTCTTAGTGAAATCTAAGTTTAAGGAACACTTAAGTTAAGATGTTTTATGCATACGGGCCCAGGTGTCTAAACAGTTGTAAAAAATTCAAACAGAATCTAAGATGTGAAAATCTTAATAACATATACGGTACCAATTTTACTGCACCAGATGCGCATTTCGACTTTCATGTCCTTTCAGTAATGATCAGAGCCGACATATTTCAAGACCCAAAACCAAATACCTTCTGAATAGCTGATATACCTCGGATTGTATGAAGTTATATTTTGACATTGCGAAAGATTTCAGAACATGTATTACTTCTTTTCACTAAATCCGATGGATGTGAACTGATTGATACTTTCGTTTGGGACATTATCAATTTATTGATGAGTTGTTATTAGCTGACTTGACGGTATAATTTTGCTCATTGTTGAAGGCCGAGCAGTTATCTTCATTTGTCGTAAATCATCTATAACTTTAAAAAGATCCCGAGTAAAAAAGAGAAGAACATTCCAAAGGGACAATCAAAACTCTTCAGTCGAATAGATACTGACAAAATCATGCCAAAACACAAAAAACCACAATTAGGCAAACAAAGCTCTACATTAAAAACTGAAGATTAAGCAACACGACCGCACAAAAAGACGAAAGGTTATCTCTGAAATGGTACGCAGATCCTGCTTCATACTTACTTTTCTGTCTATAATTTTGGAAAAGACAATTTAAAGCAGACTTAATTTATAAGATCATGACAAAACAGCAAGTCAAAGTGTGGCATTGTTTGAATTTTGCCTGAAGTATACATACATAAGATTGAAAGTCTTGCAAACATTGTTATTTAGGTGCCTACTAGTATCTTATTCCTGATATGTTTTATTTGCACGAGTTTCCATTTATTTTACTAACAAAATGAGCAAAGCATTTTCTCACAATATTATTATATTTTCATAGACAACATGGTGTCTTTCTTCCCTAAGATGATAAAACGGTGGACATTTGGAGCAATAGCTAATGCTACAGTATCTGTGGACACATTTTTTACTCTCAGGTGAAGAAAATATTTTGACAAAGGGAATCCGTCTCGTTTTCTGTTTTTTTAAGCATTACAAAATTTCTATCAGATCAATTAAGAACAATTTACGAAAAACTGTCTCGGCCTTCATTCATGTTACAATGGTCAATCATTTACACCTGATTGAAAACAATAACCTCATGTTGTTCATTTGTGTTATATAAATCTGTCCTAAATAGATATCCATGTAAATGCTTTAAATGTTTTATACGTAAATGTGATTTGAACATTACTGTGTTGTACAATTGAATAGCAGAAAACAAAAATGGTTAGCATTTAAAATATATCATTTTGACATCTATTGGCCGATTTAAGTAGATAACATTGATAAATGACTGTTATTTGTTTATTTTAGTGGATGTTTATTAACATACTTGGTGATGAAAGAGTTGAAGAAGAAAAATGGACGACTCAATTGGGGAATGTTTTATTTTCATCGATTTTGGAGGTGAAAATAAGATTTACATGAATATTTAAATCTTAATCTAAACTCACAGTTATGCCCTAATGTTCTAAAATATCGAGGCATCCACACATGTTAATGAGTTTATATTTCAATTTCTCTCTTAGATATTTTTCCTGTTGTAACTACGTAAACATAATTCAAACCAATTATACTTTTTATTTAAAGCCTTTCTCATTTTAATTCATATTAGGTTTTTTTGTATCTAAAGCCTTTTTCAATTTAGTTCATTTTAGTTTTTATATAATTGAGTGTTTTCATATGAATGATTATGTCTGCTAATTTGCCTCCATCAATTTTACAATTTCATGTCCATGCATGACCTGAGGTTGGGACCCTTTCATTGGATGTATTTAGTTAATGTATTTTTGTTCTTTGGCAAATTTGATGTTGACGGCAGGTCGTGGATACTTTTCTGGCAAATTAATTTTGAATATTTGTTTTACATTTAGAATTTGTAAAGTCTAGATTCCTTCTCTATTTTTAAAGGCTTTATGTTTACCTTTATATGATGTGGTGAGTGTTGTTAGAGTTTTGTCTTAAAGATGTTTACCTAATATCTCGTCTGATCTATAAGGAAAATCAGTTCATTCAAGACATGTCAAAAAAAAAAATATGTAACATTTACAATAATGTTCATTTTACACAAAATTGAAACAACTTTTCAATACTTTCTTTAGACTAACCCCACCATACATGTTGGTGTTGATGGTATACGTGTCTCTGTTCCATTATACCGGTAGTGGCCCAAACTGGCCTAACGATGGACCTGAGAAGAACCACTGTGAGAAAGCGTGGTATTACAATCTACTTTATATTAACAACTTCTTCGACGATAAAGAAAACCAGGTGCATATCAAATAATATTCATTTCAAGAGGAGAACTAGTAATATATTACCGAAATAAAATTAAACTGACAAGTTAAAAACGCTTGGTTAGTCGTTTTCTGTTATGATATTTTCAACGAGAGAAATGATAAATGGAATATATCGATGGTAATCTGCAACAAAGATATATCAATAACGGTCAACCAAATTTTCAAGGTTCCAGTAAAATCTTAGAAGAAATCCGTGACGTGAAAAAACTAAATGTATATACATACATAAATATAGACTTGCATGAACATTACATATATCTAACGTTAACAAACAAACAATTCTTAAGCATGAAGATATAAAAGTAAATTAAAAGAAATTTCAAGAATTGAATTAATGGATTTTCAGTCAGTAAATATAACGAATCGAGTGCGTTGTACTATAGAAGAAATAGAAACAAACACATCGAGATGTGTTCTATAAAAAACGGTTACGATTCAAAATAACCACTTATGAATAGAAGATATTTATTGGCTACCGCAATGCCTATGAAAAAGTTCAGAGTTAGAAATGATGTTAAAAACACAATGCTGTGCTCCTAGCACAAAAACTGCTCCAACTAAGATGTGAAGAAGAACAAATGAAATCGACACTACATAAGTTTTATGGTCAAAAGCACAAATTTGTTGACTAATGCGTTGTGTCGGTGTTTCAACTCACTAGCGACATGTACTTATTATGTTACTATAAATGATATTGTTCTTAATTCTTGTACATGGTTTTAAATCGAAAACTTGTCCATGGCTTATATCAAGTTTTAAAAAAAATGAAGAGGAACTGGAAGTTTACATTATTTACTTTAGGAAACATAAAACCTATTGCTATGTTTCTTTTTTTTTTGTATCAGTGTATGCTGTGGTCTTGGTATTTGGCCTGTGATATGCAGTTCTTTGTATTAAGTCCATTGATTATACTTCCATTATATTTGTAAGTATTGATGTATACAATAAACCATAGCAACCCTGTAAGTACTGATGTATACAATACACCATGTCAACCCTGTAAGTATTGATGTATACAATACAACATGTCAACCCTGTAAGTATTGATGTATACAATACACAGGGTCATCCCTGTAAGTATTGATGTATACAATACACCATGTCAACCCTTTAAGTACTGCTGTATACAATACACCATGTCAACCCTGTAAGTACTGATGTATACTATACACCATGTCAACCCTGTAAGTATTGATGTAAACAATACACCATGTCAACCCTGTAAGTAGTGACGTATACAATACACCATGTCAACCCTGTAAGTATTGATGTAAACAATACACTATGTCAACCCTGTAAGTATTGATGTATACAATACACCATGTCAACCCTGTAAGTACTGATGTATACAATACACCATGTCAACCCTGTAAGTACTGATGTATACAATACACCATGTTAACCCTGTAAGTATTGATGTAAACAATACACCATGTCAACCCTGTAAGTATTGATGTATACAATACACCATGTCAACCCTGTAAGTATTGATGTAAACAATACACTATGTCAACCCTGTAAGTATTGATGTATACAATACAATATTTCAACCCTGTAAGTATTGATGTAAACAACACACTATGTCAACCCTGTAAGTATTGAGGTATACAATACACTATGTCAACCCTGTAAGTAGTGATGTAAACAATACACCATGTCAACCCTGTAAGTACTGATGTATACAATACACCATGTCAATAGATATAAGAAGATGTGGTATGAGTGCCAATGAGACAACTCTCCATCCAAGTCAAAATTTATAAAAGTAAACCATTATAGGTCACAGTACGGTCTTCAACACGGAGCCTTGGCTCACACCGAACAGTAAGCTATAAAGGGCCCCAAAAAATTACTAGTGTAAAACCATTCAAACGGGAAAACCAACGGTCTAATCTATATAAAAAACGAGAAACGAGAAACACTTATGAACCACATCAACAAACGACAACTACTGAACATCAGATTCCTGACTTAGGACAGGTGCAAACAAATGCAGCGGGTTTAAACGTTTTAATGGTACCAAACCTTCACCCTTTTTCTGAAACAATAGTGTAACATCACAACATAGAAAGACACACTATAAAATATCAACTGAAATAGCTTAACTCAATCAAAGGACATATTAACACCATTAAACATACACTGAACAAATAAATTTGACCTATGACACAATGTAAATACAAAATAAATAAACTAAGGGAAGAATAATAAAAGTAACATGTTATATCGGTAAGAAATGTTAAACAATTAAAGAAAAACAATATGCTCGAACAAAAATATCAGCCATTTGCAATAACTTTAAACACAGGTAAATGAAAATAATTTTGTTGTTAGGTATACGTGTACAGTACCAATAGAGAAAGGAAATATTTTTACAAAATAAATAATTTTGATGTTCATAGTACGAAGTGAAAATTTATAGTTATACCAAACACTTATCAAAGCTGGTATATAGACCAGATATAAACCTGAATAACATTAAATAACAAAAAAGCAATACAATTAGTATCAACAGGTCAAATAAACAAGAATGTACGATTTGAGAGTACTCGCAGTTACTGACAGCTAGTTAAAAGCCAAACCAATTAATAATAAAAAATCATGCATCAGATACTAAAATCAACTAAAACACATCCCAGGGATTTAGTATTTTAACGTCATGGACAGTCAAAGAAGACATGACTTGCAATGCCAAAAATAAATGTATCGACAGACAGTAGGATAGTTAGGAGTTTTACCTCCCCTGTAAGTACTGATGTATACAATACACCATGTCAACTCTGTGAGTATTGGTGTATTCAGGTATACAATACAACATTTCAACCCTGTAAGTATTAAGGTATACAATACAACATTTCAACCCTGTAAGTATTAAGGTATACAGTACAACATTTTAACCCTTTGAATATTGGTGTATACATTATAACATGTCAACCCTGTAAGTATTTGTGTATACAGTACAACATGTAAAACCTGTAAGTATTAATGTATATAATACAACATGTTAAAGCTGTAAATATTGATGTATACAATACCACATGTCAAGTACTGATGTATACAATACAACATTTCAACTCTGATTTTTTTCGTCTAAACTAAATGAGTTAGGTACCAAACGTGTCTATCAATCTTTGAACATAGAATTTTCTAGACTTTTTTGTCCTGTTATCTGTGTTTTTCTAGACTGTTTTTTTAATATTTTATTTATTGCTTTTATTATTACCAGTTTTTCGTGATTTATTATTAAAAACCAATACGAACCTAGCAATGAAATATATTATATTGAAATGCACAATATAAATCAAACGGTACGTTTATACTGACATTATGGATTCATTAGAAAAAGATATATCATCTTCTCTATATAGTATAGATCACCCCGTATATACAAATACAAATGAATCCGGACGTTGACGCGTTCGAAGCGAACACACGAATCGTGTTCAGACAGGGAAGAATTTACAATTTTAAGGAAATTCCAATATTTATTCTTCGGGTATTTTTTGTCAATAAATTCTTTGCTGTATTACTCATCTCTTAATGCAAGGTTTTCTAAATATTTTATTTCTTTATAGGCAAATATCAAAAAACGCACGACCTTACCACTGATAAAAGCATGCTCGCTATTTTTATACTCGCTATACTCGCTATACTTGTAAAGACTGTAGGTTTTTGTACACTGTACACTTTTTTATACTGTACGATTCGTTGCCTTAAATGCCGACCGGCATGAAGAGGATAGGTGAGGTGAGGTGACGATTCGTTGCGAAAACATTGTATCTGTCATATGAGTTGTGGATGTATTAAAACATGTTGTCATATGTGGATAACAATATACATCACGAATACATTGAAAAGACAGGGATTTGTGATAATTTTTGTCAACGAATTGTACAGTGGTTATTTGTAAGAGAGCAGTGAACTCGACATATTTGGTGAAATGAACGATACAGTATAAGCTGAACCTATTAAGAACGATATCGTGTTTATTTGGACTTCCAGGAAACATTTGAACGCACGTGGTAATTTAACGTGAAGTTATTTATCATTGCTTAAAGTATTGCTCAACAAAAGTTAATGTAAGAAAAGATATTGAACCATGTTTACCTCATAAAATGTAGCAAATTGCGCCATGTCTGTGCGTTTTGTATCTAGCATTTTTATCTAACGTTTTTTACACAATCTGAAACTTGCAACAACTTTATAATTGATTAGATAAACTACCATGTTCATGTACGCATTGATATATACTCACTTTTAAAAGTTCTAGAAAGGCATTCGAATATGTTGTCATCCCAAATGTCCTGATTATCGCTTCGAACGCGCCAACGTCCGGATTCATTTGTATCGGGGTTATACGTGATGTAGATCGTAAATCAGTTATTGTGTTAAGGCTAATTCGTCAATTTATGAAATATCATTGATGCGATCCTTTTCTTAAAATTTACCTTGTATTAAACTCCAATCCTTCAAAACACTGAGATTGCTCTACCCCAGTCATAAATTTGGCAAAAAAACTGTTTTATTCGAACGCCATTTGTGAGACTAAAGCATATGCGATACGCGCGTTGTGTATACCAAATTACAAACCTGGTATCTTTAAAACAATTTAAGTTGTGTACTTCGAGTCTGTTTGTGTATTTTGAATAATATAACATTGTGTATTGAATTTGCAAACGAAATTATTGAATTATTTCAGTTTTCCTATCGTTGGCTTTGGGATTATGATGGTATTTCTATTAGGAACATGGATAGCTACTGGTGTAATTTCTTCCCATTATGACATCCCAGCATCATCATTTGATGGGTATGAATTTAATTATGTGAACGCAATTGTATATAATTTCTTTTCTCGATATAATACATTAAGTTATGTGTTATGATTATATGGATACACGAAGAAATATCATACCATGCTAATAACAAATGAGTTTGAATCCTTTTATACTTTCAACCTAAAAGATAGACTACAAGAATAAGTCCACCTTTGCGCCCAACGTTAATAATAATATTCTGTTAAAGGAATTGTCGAATTTAAAATTGTCAACTTCCCATTTCTCAGCAGAAACATACCCTCTGCTCCATCGTATAGCGTTAACATATCTCAGTTAATACGTTAAGCCCATGTATGTTCCCATTATTTGAACTTCATTAACCGGTGGTGTGTAAACTACTGTCTCCTAAATTTAATCAAACATACGGCATTCTAAAAGTAGCCCATTCTTGCTCTGCTCTCCTTTTTCAGTTATTCTAAAGAGAAAGTTTCTTCCCACTGTTTCCCAATTGAAGTAATTAAAAAGATTAGCATATCATCCATTAACCTCATTTCCACGATACAGATGATGTAATCGAACTAATTATTCAAATTTGATGACTATTTTGCACGCATTTATCGTACTGAAATTGATAGATTGATAATACATATAATACTACTATTGATTCATATTTTGACTTACAGCTAGAACGTAACAATGATACTCATTTGGAAATAAACTTTTCGACTAAGGGACATTTTTCCAACAAGAACTGTTATTTTTTTTGTGGCAACAGCTAGCACATTCTCAAAACTTCTCCGTTTTCAAAATCTTTAAAAGTGGATTTCTTTAATTACAATTACTTTAAAATGTATAAAGTTGTCAAATCTGTGATGATAAGTAACTAATCTCAAGCACTGATATTGCTGCTGATGGACTATCTGTCCCCGAGCGTGTCATAAGCTCAGTAGTCAGTACTTTGTTACTGACATGATTTAAAACATAAGTTTCCCGTTTATAAGAGTTATAAATTATTACAAAAACGAAGGTTCTAACTCTTTCAGCCAAAGTTGACCTTCGATGGATTTGGCTATTATTTCATGTCTTTTTTTGGTCATAAAAATCTTCAACTGTTTCGGTTCTTACACATAATGGGCTTTCAAAATATTCGGCTTTTAGCCTTCCTGATTAAGGTATATCCAGAAAAGCGATGGTTTTGACTATTACATTATGGGGTTTTTTTATCATACATCTCCGAACGTTTTCACGTTTCCTATACATTTCTAGGAATATGATTGGTTAAAAGTAACCGCGTGTATATTTCATATGGGTTTTGTAGGTGGGGCTTATTTCAATTCACGTTTAGTAGTGGTGTTGCGTCCCTTTATAAAAACAACACGGTATTGAGGAAAAATCTGAAAGGCTTCAACAAACGAAGAAATTGATGATGAACGATTGAAATAAATTCATAAAACACATAAATAAAAAACTGTTAACACAGAGATATGTCTCGCCTTTAATGCAAATGTTGAAATTAAAATAGCAATACTTTAACATGTAAGTTATGCAAATATTCAAAGTCAATGAACCATGACTGACGGTACATGGCAAAACAATCTCCATGGAAATGAGATGTGCCAATGCTAATACAACTGCATACCAAATACCTTAGACTTGTCATAAGTCGTTCCCTTTCAACAAACCTAAACACAAAAATTGACTTGTATACTATGTAAAAGTTTCAAATTCAATGAACCATGATGAGGGGTGGGGATATATAATCTCCATGGAAACGAGACTTGCAAATGCCAATAAATCTGCATACCAAATATCATTGACTTAACGTTAGCGGTTCATCTTAAACTGATTTAATCACAAATTAATACATGTAAACTAAGCAAAAGTTTCAAAGTCAATAAACCATGACTGAGGGGGCGGGACCAAATATTCTCCATGTAAATGAGATGTGCTAATGTTTATACAATTGCATACCAATTAACATTGGCCTGCCACTAATGGTTCCCCTTGAAATTACCTAATCACAAACTAATACACGAAAACTAAGCAAAAGTTTTAAAGTCAATAGACCATGACTAAGGGTCGGAGCCAAATGAACTCCATGGAAATGAGATATGTCAATGCTTATACAACTGCATACCAAATATCATTGACTTACCACTAGTGGTTCCCCATAAACTGACCTAACCACAAACTAATACATGTAAACTAAGCAAAAGTTTCAAAGTCAATAGACCATGACTGAGGGGGCAGGGCCAAATAATCTCCATAGAAATGAGATGTGCCTGTACTAATACAACTGCATACCAAATATCATTGACAAACCACTAGTGGTTCACCTTAAATTTGACCTAATCACAAAGTAATACATTGTTGACGCCGTCGCCGTCGCCGTCGCCGCCGCCGCCGGAAACAGCATATCTATGTCTCGCTTTTTGACTCCGTCAAGGCGAGACAAAAACTAACAAGTTATTGTTATTGTTGCCATTTTTTTTTGTATAGACCAATGGAAGTAGGTTCTTAATTAATACTAAGTATTGAAGACTTAATCACTTGGATAGGCCACTAGTCTAAATACCACATCGGTAATATAAATTCGTGACACAGTGTGCTAGTGACCTTATACGATATATATGGGGTCAGTAAATTCCATATGGGGATTCGAGCTTCGCTCTCACCCCATATGGAATTTACTGACCCAATATATATCGTATTAGGTCACTAGCACACTAAACACAGTAAACTCCATGTGGGGATTCGAGTTTCGCTCTCACCCCATATTGAATTTACTGACCCCATATATATCGTATTAGGTCACTAGCACACTATGTAACTAATAATATATCCGAAAGTTTTCACGTTTCAATATATCCGTGTCTTTTAAATGTTAAGGCTTGATCGTTCCTCTTGAAGGTAAACAGAAAAGCGCTTTAGACACACGGAATGTATGAAATGTTCTTTTCATTCAATAAAATAACATCTTTTTCATTTATCAATTTATTTTAGAAAATATGGAAAAAGGATAATGTGTGTTATATCATTTTTTTCTAAAGATAATTTAGATTTACATTGATAAATTAAAAAGACGAGAATATTTGAAAGAAGAAGTCACACATAAAAACTGCTAGAAATATTTACATAACTTGATGTACAAAAACCTTGTAGATACATTGCGTAATAGTGTTTACTTTCTCTTATTGCAGAGGAGATGGTACTCATTTTAATAAGATATACTTTCGATCCTACTGCAGAATGGGTCCATACTTAGTGGGGATGTTTACCGGATATCTGCTTTATAGGACGAGATGTAACATTCGTATTAGCAAGGTATATTTTGGTCTTTGTTTCAAATCTCTGGAAATGGAAAGCATAATGCATTCTACTATATAGTCTATAACAGATGAAACTATTAACATCTTACCATAGTATGCACACAAAACGCAGGTCATCTCCATCCGTTATGCTATAAACCAAATGTATTTCAACTCTAAACCATATACATTGAATTTTGGTGAGCCTCAAAACAAATGCATGTTTAAAGGATGAAACTTTAATCAAATTGCAATTTCAGAATCAATAAACCGGTATTTAGAAAAAAGTCAAAAATGAAGAATTTGTAGTATAAGTTGGTTATCTCGGAGTGACTGTCATCCAGCAATATTATTGACCTAATGATCAATTTAAAGTATGATACCGGTATCGGTTATATAGTACGATATGCAATAATGACAAACTAATAAAGTGTATGCCTTTATTAATCAGTTGTGTTTCAACAATACATTATATGGAAAGACTGATTTCCTAAAAGGATAAATTTAACTATGTGCAAAAGTTGTTTATCCATGTTGAAACTTCAAATCTCATAAAAAATCTCAAGTAAAAACAAAATCTGAGGAAATCACATGAACTCCAAAAGAAAAAAAACCGTGTGCGTTGAAAAGTGAACCATTTACAAGTCAATGTATGCTTGCATCACGCGACACAGGAAACCACACTTATTCAAAATATCACTATCAGGAATAGAAAAAAAACGGTAAATTTACAGATCAGACCACTATTCCGGTATTTGAAGATCTAATATGGCGAAACATGTCGCTAATGAGTTAAGACACAGACTCATCGTATCGATCAACCGATTCGTGATTTCATGTTCATGGAGTCCGTATAGTGTGAACAGCTCTAGCGTAACGTATGAATTAAGATATGTAAATGCATGCATTAACGCCAAGTTGACAGAGAAAATGTAGGACCCTTGCTTATAGATTCAGAATGTTAACCCTAATTGTACATAATAATATAGTTCTGTCGTGACCTGGACATTGTTAATAATGATCAACTGTATGAATTATAGTAAATGACCAGAAATATCGCATGCAACAACAATACATTGAAGATAAAACTGCATATTCAGTGGCGTAGCTAGGCCATTTTTAAGTGTACGCCCGAACCTCATCGAGGGTTTTGAGGTCCAGAACAGAAGACCTCCTGATTGGGGGCGAAACCCCAAGGATGTTCACGCGTTATTGAGAAAAAGATACCAACATATGTCATTAAAAACTCATCAATAGCAACATACTTGGTCGGTTCAGAACAAAACTTTACGACAAAGGAGATGATTTCAGCCTCCAATTGTAAACTTTTCTTTTCTATGTAGCAACATTCCAGCAGCACCTGCATATGGAGTATATACATGTCAGTTGATAAGATATGCCAGAGCTTGCATTTCCTATCATCATTTCAAGTGGTGAAGTTGAAATCATCACTTCGTAAATTTTACGAACGCAATCACGAGTTAGTTGACCGTTATGGAATATCGGTTATACAGATGATATCGGATATGTTCCTTATGTCGTAACTACAATCCCGTTCCCTTTTCACGAATGTGACCTACCAAATTAGACTATTTAACGGCTTTATAATAACATGAAGACGACGGGTGCCACGTGTGGAGCAGAACCTTCTGGAGCACCTGAAACCAACCCCAGTTTTTGGTGGGGTTCGTGTTGTTGTTGTACCCCTATTTGTGACATTTTGTTCACGCATCGTTGTCAATATAATGGAATTTGATGCGACAGTCGTACAAGTGAGAGGTTTAGCGCTATAAAACCATGTTCAATCCACCATTTTCTACATAAGAAAATGCCTGTACCAAGTCAGGAATATGACAGTTGTTGTCCATTCGTTTGATGTGTTTGTACTTTTGATTTTGCCATTTGATTAGGGACTTTCCGTTTTGAATTTTCCTCGGAGTTCAGTATTTTTGTGATTTAACTTTTTCCTTGATAGATAGTGGATGCTTACAAGGAAGCTACTGAACCAAGAGTTCTAAGTGGTGAAGTTGAAATCATCCCTTCGAAAATTTTACGTTCGACATAACGAGTAGGTTAATGACGACGGATATGTTCCAATTGCTGATATTACCACAATCCCGTCCTCTTTTCCTCTAATGTGATCTACCGAATTAGACTTATCACTGAGTTTGCACACGTGGAGTAGAATTTGCTTACCCTTCCGAAGCACCTGAGATCACCCCCAGGTTTTGGTGGGGTCCGTGTTGTCAAGTCTTATGTTTCTATGTTGTGTTTTGTATACTGTTGTTTGCCTTTTCATAGTTTTTCGTTTTTTGCCATGGTATTGTCAGTTTGTTTTCAATTGATGAGTTTGAATATCCCTTTCGCGTCTCTTTCAGAGTCTAATTTGTTTTTTACAGTTAAATTTATTCATTGTATTGATCTGGAATATAATGGTAATATATTAAGAGAAAAAAATGCCCAAAACAGTTGCTTAAAAATATGTTAAGAAGCAATCTAAAATTTATATCTATATTTACTCGAATGCTCCTTTCTTATGAGTCTAACGAAATCAGAGAAATATATTTTAATTAGATTGGTTTAAAAGGAGATGTGGGGTAAACAATCAATCGACAAAAAAATCAAAACTTTATATAGAGATAGTCAAAAAGCAATTCACCATTTTAATGTTGTCGTTCTATTGATTTTTTGGGAAAAATACAAGGCTCGTGTGCTTTTAATCAGTTCTTATAATTTATTTGGGTTCAAATATTTTTTTTTTCTTCAAAATTTATGTGTACGCCCGGGCGTTTTGACGTAAACGTAGCTACGCGCATGATATTACTGTCCTGAACTCTGTTTAAAACTCTGCGAGAGTCAGCGGAACCAGTAACCCTGACTGGACCAATATAAGAAGTGTCCTGAATAGTTGTACGTTTATAATCCGTTCCTATTGTCGTATATTATATACTGTTCTAGAATATCATAAAGTAATATGGATATTCCTGCAGTTGTGTTAAATGAAACTCATATGTAGGTTTAATTTCTGCTTTCAGTATTGGAATTTACTGGGCTGGGGTATAGCTACCGGGGTGTCTCTGGCGGTACTGTACGGATTGTATGATGATATGAACGGTGAACGGCTATCTACAGAAATGTCAGCTCTATACAATACAGTCCACAGAACCGTCTGGGGTGCGTGTGTAGCATGGGTTATATTTGCCTGTGCAACTGGTTATGGAGGTAAAATCTAATTTACAAAAAGACTTGAAACGTTATACTATTACAGAGTTGATAATTGAGATATTATAATTGTACATAAAACAAGAAAAGTCAGTTGCAAATTAAGTGTTAATTTATACAAAAGACAACCAAAAACAGAATATATATAGAAGTAAAGAATACCCGCATATCACTATCAAACACCTTTCAAAATGTGACCAGTGTTTTATCTAAATTGAAAACATGTAATGTGTGCATGAATAACATAATTCGTATACCCAATAGGCAAAACCGAAAGCAAAGAAACGGCGCTTCATTGATATTTGCCATTGGGTTTTTTAAATGGATCGTTAGATATTATTAATTCTTCTAAATATTTTAAATTAATTTCGACATGTCATGACGAATTGTGATAAAGGACGTTATTTATATTAAAAAAGCAAGTTTGTAAATTAAAATCATGTATGGAGACTTTGAGGTCTGGAGCTGGCGTGTCAATAACTGCTAGTAATTCTTTGTTAATTTATGTATCATTGTCATTTTGATCAGTTTCTATTGTTACCTTTTCTTTTGTTACCTATTCTGACATTGGACTCGGACTTCTTTTAAATTGAGTTTTACTGTGAGTATTGATGTGTGTTTTGGTTATTGGCTAGAGGTATAGGGGAGGGTTGAGATCTTACAAATCATGTTTAACCATGCCGCATTTTTGCGCCTGTCCCATGGCAGGAGCCTCTGGCCTTTGTTAGTCTTGTATGCTTTTTAATTTTAGTTCATTTATATGTTTCAAAGTTTAGTGTGACGTCCATTTTCACTGAACTAGTACACATTTTTATTTAGGGGTCAGCTGAAACCCGCATCCAGGGCTGTTTTGAAGACCCATTGGTGGCCTTGTGCTGTTTTCTGCTCTTTGGTTGGGTTGTTGTCTCTTTGACCCATTCCCCATTTCCCTTCTCAATTTTATTTACTCCATTGGTAATCATATTTTTAATAGATTTACGAATAAGAAATTATGATAGAAAAGTCGTAAGTCCTTATCAAATGCATATACAAATTTCAAACACCAAACTATCCTTGAAAAGTGTTATCTGTCTGATCAGAAACTCTTATATGCTTTTTGACACTATGAATTCATGGAATTGGTGTGTCATATTAACAAGCACATTTGTGACATGCTCTATGGACACCATATTACCATGTCTTAGGTATTTATACCACAGATTTGCACATTTTAGTCAAATTTTGTGAACGACATATGCATGATATAATGAAGGGTTTTATTCCGTATTAGTCCGAGATTGCTCTGAAATCTCACAGCCTTTTAATGCCTTCTTGGTGATGTATGACGTCATAGATTAGATCATATGGACAACATGGAAATTGTTTCTCTTTTGAAATCGTAAAATTTTCATATTCAAGTTGATAAATCATACATCATCCCTTTCCTTATTCATTTGCATAAATTAGCCCATGAATATAAATCATGTGAGATCGCGATTTGTTGTTCAAAGTGAAACTGTGTCGCTGAAACTAGTGGGCTGGTAGAATAGAAAGTTTTTAATTGTGCTACGGAGTGTATGTACGTAAATAAAATTACTTATCCGTGGAGAAAAATAAGTGAGGAATCGAATGATATATAATTTATCTATTTCAAAATAGATCTTTTAAGTCATGAATATGGCAGTTGTTATTCTATATGTATGTTGGCGTTTGTTTGTGTAGCAGTTCAGTGTTTCTGTTGTTCCGTTGTTTCCCTCTTATAGTTGATGTGTTCTCCTCGGTTTTGTTTTGTGACCCGGATTTGTTTTTTGCTTAATCGATTTATGACTATTGAACAGCGGTATACTACTGTTGTCATTATTTACAATTTCGAATTAGAAACTGGTCGCCCAAAATCTTGGCTGGAAGTTTCCATGTTTTCTATACGGACTGGGCTTTGACTTCACACGGTCTCCATAAAGTCCACAGGGAGATCTTTTACAATTTAAGATAGAAACTTGTCGCCTCAAATCTGGGTCGGAACTTTCAATGTTTTCTCAATGAACTGGGCCTTTTATAGCTTGCTGTTCGGGATGAGCCAAGGCTCCGTGTTGAAGGCCGTACTTTGACCTATAATTGTTTACTCTTACACATTGTGACTTGGATGGAGAGTTGTCTCATTGGCACTCACACCACATCTTCTTCTTTCTATTGAAGGCTGTTGTAAAACTAACACTAACCCTTTGTTTCAGGATTTGTTAACGTCATACTATCATGGAAGGGTTTTATACCACTAAGCAGACTGACTTACATGGCATACCTTGTACATATTATCATCATGATGCATTATATCATGTCCTACCAGAGAATGTTTCATTTGACTGACAGTGAATATGTGAGTCTTTTTTTTTCTTTAATCGTAGGGATTTATACTATATCGTTGCATTGCTATTGGCAGACTAACAGTGATTTGTTATGTTCCTTTTTTGGCATACAAGAATCCACAAATACAATGCTTGTATTGTCATAAGCCTAGGCACATATACCTGAATATTGATACAATGTAAGTATGTGTCCATAAAAATGATAGACGATATGGCAATCTTAATTAGATGTTAAAACTCAAGTAGAGTCTAAATACTATTGCTTGAAAAGAAAAAAATAATTTGACAATATATAGCTCAATACTAGACATACGTTCACTGCAAAATCTCAAAACAAAACCGACACATTTTATAACTATTGTTTGAAGAGAAAAAATAGTTTGACAATATGTACCTCAATACTAGACATGCGTTCACTGACAAAAACAAAAACCAAACCAACAAATTTTAATGATAGGCAATTTTGACAATACAAAAGCAATGCCAAATTGAAAAACACTGACAATAAGCATAGGCTCCGGCATATAACAATAGCAACAAGTCAGTATAAGACGGACGACCATTTACTAAAAACCAAAAAACCCAACACTTTATTGTTATAAGACTAGGCACATGTACCTGGATATTAATACGTGGTATATCATGTACCTGAATATTAATACGTGGTATATAATGAACCTGGATATTTATACGTGATTTATCCTGAACCTGGATATTAATAGTCCTTAATACGTGATTTATCGAGTACCTAGATATTAATACGTGGTATATCATGTAGCTGTATATCAATGTGTGGTATATCATGTATCTGGATATTTTAAAATACGTGTTTTATCATATACCTATATATTGATACGTGGTATATCATGTATCTATAGATATTGATACGTGGTATACCTAGATATTAACACGTGATATATCATGTACCTGGATATTGATGCGTGATGTATCATGTACCTGGAAATTGAAACGTGATTATCATGTACCTAGATATTGATACGTGATGTATCATGTACAAACTTAAGAACGTCGGGGTCACAAAAAGAGTAAATTTTCAAAATTTTACATTTTCTATCCAATTTCAAAAAAAAATAATAACGTCTCTTACTCCTGAGTGTACCGTGACGAAATTGAATTATGTTTACTAAGTTATTGTTAACATTAAAACATTTCTTAGTTATCAACGAAAGTCTTAAACGAATTAAAAAGATAAAAACGATATTTATCCTGAATTTGGATATTGATAAGTGATGTATAATGTAACAATTTGAAGGTGCTGATATGTGATATATCATGGACAGGGATATTTATTCGTGATGCATCATGCATCTGGATATTTATTCGTTATATAACATGTACCTGGATATTGATACTCTGAGTTAACCATCGATTTTTGGCAGGAAAACTGGCAATCCAGGTCAATTGTGATCGGAATCGAACGCACCTGCTACTAGCAGCGTTTCGAAGTCACAATCTCAGTGTTGACAGGCTAGTGATCACTGTACATGAATTACTTATATTATTCAGCCCCCTAGTCCCCATAGAAAAAAACAAGACATAACTACACACTACCAAGTGAGATCACACATTTAAATTTAGAAATAAAAAGTTTTGCATTAAACTGGAACCAAAATAGTGAAAGCAGACAAGTGTGTTAAAATGAATTTCCAGCTAAGCTTTCAACATCCTTAGAAACAAACCTATGAAATAAAAATGATACCTGAATTATCAAAAATAAAACAAGACAAAAGACAACGCTAACCACCAACACCTGACCTTCCGACAAACAAAGATGTACAAACAACAATGAACAAGACAAAAGACAACGCTAACCACCAACACCGGACCTTCCGACAAACAAAGATGTACAAACAACAATGAACAAGACAAAAGACAACGCTAACCACCAACACCTGACCTTCCGACAAACAAAGATGTACAAACAACAATGAACAAGACAAAAGACAACGCTAACCACCAACACCTGACCTTCCGACAAACAAAGATGTACAAACAACAATGAACAACACAAAAGACAACGCTTACCACCAACACCTTACCTTCCGACAAACAAAGATGTACAAACAACAATGAATAAGACATGGATTCATATAATAAAAGACGTAGTATATTGTAATCATTTGATGAAATTATACCGAGATGAACATTTTTAAGCTGTGAAAAGTAAACATTTTGTATATTTTTCAGATTTATCAATTCCTTGGTAATTTAGGTTTGTCATATATGGCAGCTTTTGTGACAACGCTGGCATTTGAATCACCAATGATGGGACTAGAAAGAGTCATTTTTAAGAAAGAAGAACGGAAACGATAATCGACAACATGTTCGTTTAACTTTTAAAAATCTACAATGATATAAAATAATACTTTCGATTGTTTCCACGCTGATATATTTTGACATAAGTCTTTGTTCGTTGATTTAGATTTAATTTGTGTTGTAATATTTCTAATTTCACGATTTGTGTTTGAGCGAGATCTGTGAAAAACCACAAATTAAAACATCAGTTATCGTGCTTGTTTCTTTAGGCAAATGATTTATTTGTAACGTATGTAATTGGCCTCATTTATATATACCTACTGTTTTAATGGGTTTTTTTTTTTGGGGTCATGGGTGTCAGTGCCCTTTGTTATTTATTAGCATGTCAAGATCTTGCATATTTCGGCATTTTACTGTCATTTCATGGTTGTATAAGTCATGGAAAGACAATATTGTATACCAAAATAGTATTGTTTTATTAAAGTACGTACTTATATACATTAAGTTCCTAATTAAGATCCGCGGTTGTTGGAAATAACATTTTGACCCCAAATCTTAACTCCTATTTTTAATTTTTACAAATATAATTTTCTGAAATAGTTTTCACTTTTTATTTAGGGTATCATATAAATTTGGTTTAATCCACCATTTTCTACATAAGAAAATGCCTGTACCAAGTCAGGAATATGACAGTTGTTTTCCATTCGTTTGATGTGTTTGAGCTTTTGATTTTGCCAATTGTTAAGGGACTTTCCGTTTTGAATTTTTCTTGGAGTTCGGTATTTTTGTTGATTTACTTTTTGTTATTTGAAAATTTATGTGTTTTTGATCAATATAAATCTTGCGCTATAAATTCGGTATGTTTGACCTCATTTTGATATGTGTTACTTTTAATTATGTTTATGGTTACAAAATATATTGTCAAGCAACTTTATTTTGAATATTAACAATATCTTATATTAACAATATATAATCCAAAATTCCTTTTATTGTACTTTTTAAAATTCAAGACAGAGAAAGCTATTCTTATTGTGTAATGTCGATAATTACCAAATTATTCATAATTTTAGTTAACCTGATATAAAATAAAAGAAATATCTGACGATTCTAAAGCCTATGTTTGATGTTTGATATTGCAAATGTTATTAGAATTTTAAGAATTTTTTTATTCTATTAAACCAAGAACCCATAAAGGGCATCATTTTACAACAACAATATGCACAATATGATTGAAAAAAAAAACATAATGTTATGGACGGGATCAGAGCCTAACACGTCATGTGTCTTATATAACTATTACAACATATCTCATAATAATAAAATATCATTTATATATTTTGTTTCCACCTGGATCTTATTTCTAAACACTGAATAATAAAATTTCCTATGCACATAAGAGTTGGTAAATGCTCATTTGTGAACAGCCAGAAATATTTTTTATCCTTGGGTAATTCTTTAAAATTAGTACAAAAATGTTATTATGTATAATGCTACCGAAAATAAGTTTTACAAATAGTTTTAGTTGTGTATATTCTTTTTAATTTGTTAAAGTATCTATGGAAAATTGCAATTGTTCACAATTTTAAACATAATTTCTAAGCATGGTTTAAAGTGCATTTAATGCTATATAAATAAGAATATGTGGTATGAGTGCCAATGAGACAACTCTCAATCCAAGTCACAATGTTTAAAAAGTAAACAATTATAGGTCAAAGTACGGCCTTCAACAAGAAGCCTTGTCTCACACAGAACAGCAAGCTATAAAGGGCCCCAAAATGACTAGTGAAAAACAATTCTAACAAGAAAACCAACGGTATAATCTATATATACCTTAATTACTAAAATATATGCTACATAGTTTAAGATTTACCCTTATGCTTATTTTGTTTTAAATATGTACTACTTTCCAGTATGTTCTTTTTTTGACCGGGTCCGATTAAATGGTGTTACATCTTACAAAGTCTGTCCAAATTATTTTTGCAAAGCATTCCGCTCAAGCCGGTGCTAGGGGCCGTCTTAAACTTGCAGTGAGGTGAGAGTTTTTTTTTTTTGCTTCGTGTTGAAGGTCTCACTGTGACTTTGAAATGACGAACAGCAATAAAAGCGTTGTTCCTTTGCTTTTTGTGTGTTTTTTGCTGTTCATTTACCGATTTTGTGTCATGGATGGGTACCCCATAACCTTTGTTTTTTCTATTAAAAAACGAAAACGAGAAATACCTATGAACCACACCAACAGACGACAACCACTGAACAACAGGCTCCTGACCTAGGACAGGTGCATAAAAATGCAGCGGGTTTAAACGTTTTAACAGGCGCCAACCTTCACCCTAACATGAGACAGTAGTGTAACATTACAATAATTACAATATAGAAAGACACACTATAAAATTGAAATTGCTTAACTCGATTAAAAAGACATTTGATTAAAAACAAGTAAACATACATTAAACTAATAAGTTTGATCTATGACACAATATAAATACAATATTAAAACGTAGGTGCCTATAACATATTGACGTTACAGGTAGTACATTTGTAATACAAAGATGTAGGAAGAGTGTCAAAAAGACAACTCTTACCTGGGACAAAATGGCGTTAAATAAAACAATGTACACAGGTTATTGTAAATTTTGTCATAAGAGCCTTATTTGGTTTACGTAGGAGGCATGAAAAGAGCACAAGTTGGTTTACCTAGGAGGTATGATAAGAGCCTTATTTGGTCGTTTGCTTAACAGAAAAGGTATGACAAGAGCCTTATTTGGTTTACCTAGGAGGTAGGATACGAGCCTTATTTGGTTTACCTAGGAGGTAGGATACGAGCCTTATTTGGTTTACCTAGGAGGTATGATAAGAGCCTTATTTGGTCGTTTGGTTTACGGAAAAGGTATGATGAGAGCCATATTTGGTTTACCTAGGTTGATTTATATAGAATAATTTTGTACAATGTTACAATGATATGGAACAAGAATAAATAGGTTATCTCATAACAAAGAAAGAAGGGAAAAAAATTATAATTTAAAAATACTGGTATAAAAACATTCAAATTTCCAACGTACTGGATGTAAGAGGCATACAGATTCTCGGTACTACCATAAACAATCGATATTAGTTCTAAAAATTATGATCTTTTTGTCAAGTACAACTTTTCCTATTATGAATTGAAGAATCTTGCAGTTTTGAATAATGAATTGAAAACATCATGATGATGGTTTTATCTATCGTATTTCATATTTAGTTTTGGTATAAACAAATGGATTTTATAATCATAAGAACGTGTTATTTTGAGACGTAAATAGTTAAATTTAAATAAACGCATCCTATAAATTAAAAATGTTTCTTTTTTTGCATGTTGATCTATTTTGTTTTCAAATATACGTGTTGGTGTTGTTTATACCGGGAAAAAAAAATGTTTTCTATGTTGAAAAAAAAATCGAACTCTCATATTAGGGCAAATTTTAGGGCAAAAATCTCATCAAAGATACCAAGCTTATAATTGTGTACGCCAGACGCGCGTCAGTTTGTCTACAAAAGACTGATCGGTAACGCTCGAATCTAAAGAATGAGAAGGCATCAATAAATTATAATGTTGAAGAGCATTATGGCTAAAAATTCCAAAATGTTTTGCCAAATACAGTTAAGATAATCAGGGAATTCCTACTACTACTAAGGCGTATTTAACGACTTTGACTACCCAAGAGGGTCTCACACGGTCGAGCAGGTAAATCTCTTTACCGATAGTATGTGGATTTTGCGTTGTTTTAGGGTGAGGGATTTATAACACCAATAGTTTGTGCATTTGATTTAAATTTGATTGATGGTTACTTAATGTCCAGTGGCAAATATGTCATGATTGTTTAGGACGAGATGTTGTTTTATTTAGAGAATTATATATACTGATGTTTACGTAGTTTTCTGTTGATTTGTTTTTCTTAGTGACCATGTAGGTTAGTTAACTCTCCTTTGGTATCTCATCTCTTTTAATATGACTCATCAATGTATTTTGACACGAGTAACATGGTACTGCCACAGGTAAATCAGATATCTATATGTACCTTATTTTTTCAGAACATATACTGGTATGCGCCAAAAACTGTCATTTCAATCATAAGTTTATTTATTATTTATTTCTGCACATTTATAAAATAATTCGCTTTGTAGAAATACATTCCGTAGAATTAGAATTAGAATCAGCAACAGGCGTCCTCAATTCAAATGTTTAATGAACGCCATCCTGTTTAGATAACACTTGCGACTTATAAAAGCATGTGTACGTAACATGAGCAACATGACGAGTGTCACAAGTAGAGCAGGATTTGCCTATCCTGCCGGAGCATCTGGGATCAACCTTGTTTTTTGTGGGGTTCGTGATGCTCAGTCTTTAGTTATCTATGCAGTTTTTTAAGGACTCGTCTTGTTTGCCTTTTGTTTTTCGATTTTTGCCATGGAGTTGTCAGCTTCTCTTCGACATCTGAGTTTTTAATGGTCTCTTGGTATCTTCCGATTTTTTTTATGGTGCATCCATTTGTCCCCAACCACAATCCTGACCTCCTTTTTTAGTCTTTGGTGTCACCTTATAAGATTAGACAGGACTCGCACTGCTTAATTTTTATTTGGCGTATGAATATATAAGGGTTAGAGTTAGTGTTAGACTTCATGTGTACTATTTTGTGGATTGCTATTCGTCTTTTTACCATTATGACATGGTGTTGTTTATCTTTCTCTTTACCAACTTGATTTCTTCTTTTTCATGAGTTTCGAGTACATAGTCAACATGAATAATACAATTATATGCTAATAACAGCTTGTACCATGTTGGTTTTGTGCTTTTAGTTTCGAAAAATACCTGCATGATGAAGGTTATTCCAGACGCACTTGTCATGATATATAGCCTTTTATAGTATCTGAGTGAATAATGCAATACGTCTATTATAGTATCTGAGAAACAGACTTTATCCCAAAAACGTTACGTTGATAAAAAAAAAAAACAAAAAAAAACATGAATATGAATATGAGGTATGTTTTCAAAAGTTTCAAGTGGTTCACATTTGTATATAGTTGAATAGTTGAA